TCTGGGGGGGCACATTCTCCCCCCCCCCCCCCCAATAGCTAGCAATTCAAAACAGTCCAGTGGAGCCTGAGTGGTGGGTGTTGCCTTCTGACACACTTTCGGTGATGTTAGGGGGTGTGGCATATGCAAAAAAGTTATGCTAATGAGTTGTGCTAATGAGCTCCTGCACCTCTTTTTCTACGAAATGACCCCTGCTCTTCTCACAAATGTACAGTCTAAACTAGACAGGTGCCAGTGAGGAGTACTTCTAATACCAGTCAGACCCAGATTCTAATCCCACTCATCTGTGAAGCTCACTGGGTGACCTTGAGCCATTCACTCTCAACTGAACCTGCCTCACAGGGCTATTGTGAGAGTAACACGGAGGAGGGGAGAACCATATATGTTGTCCTGAGTTCTTCGGAGGAAGGGCAACATAAAAACATGTGTAATAGCCCTAACAGCTCAGATTAGCCTGATCTAATCAGAACTCAGAAGTTAAGCAGAGTCAGTAGGGAGACCACCAATGAAGACAGGGGCTGCTCTGCAGGGGACGGAAACGGCAAACCGCTTCTGCTCAACTCTTGACTTGAAAACTCCATGTGGTGGAACTTCATGGGGTCACCATGAGTTGGTTGCAACTCAACAGCACGCTTAACCTTTAGGTTGATACATGAAGTTCTCACTGGGTTAGGTTTTCACAAAAACCCATCTCATGTTATTGGATTTAAAGTAGAAAGTAATATGTTTAGAAAACAATCTACTCCATACATGAAGCACCGCCTCCTCCTATATTAAAGAGCCTGTGATTTAAGATTGTTATTGGGGTCCTGCTCTGTGTGCCATTAGTGAGGGAGGCTAGAACAGTAGGTACTGAGAGCAGGGCATTGTCCGTGGTAGACTCCAGTTTAAGGAACTTCTTCCTCAGGAAGCCCATACAACCTCTTGCTTGGTCTCCTGGCAGCTGCTGAAATCTGTTCTTTTCCAGAAGGTTTTTAATGGTTTTATTCCTTGACTGTTTTTAGTTTACATTTGCCATTATTGGTTTGGTTTTTGACTCTTATTGTTTTATCGTTCTGCTTTCTGCTAGCTTTGGGGGTCGTTCCCCTTGCAGGTTTGGCACTGTTTATTGGTGTGGGGCGGGGTGTTTTTGTGATTTAATTTTGATTGCTGCTATGGTTTATTTTAAGGTTGTTTTTCAAATTACTTTGGTTGATGCTATGTTTTTATGGTTTTGATTGTACTTTTGTTCTGATGATTTCACTGATTTATATCGTCAGCTGCGTTGCGGGCAGATTTTGTTCAGCAGAAAGGGAGACTATAAGTGTTCTTCACTAAGGGCCAAACTACACAAAGGGATTTTATATTTTTAGCTCTTTAATGGTGTGCTTGTATCCTGAGGTCTGTTTTATGGGTGTTTATTAGGGTGCTGAATGGTTGTTCTGTGCTGTTGTTATGTTTCTGGCTAGTTTTTAATGGCTAGCTTTTTATATTGATAATTTATTGTTTACCTAATCATGGTATTGTTTTTATTTCTGAGCCACCTCAAGCTGATCTCTGGAGAGAGAACCTATAAAATTCTATAAAGTTATTATTTATCTATGATTGCTTATTCTACAATTCTGCATGTCATTATATTAAGTGATGTCTGAAACCCTACTTTTAATTCTGATTCCAGCTTATTGCCAGAAAACAACCTACATGTGGGTAATTCTGAAGACAAAAGCAAAACGGCTCAAAGTTTTAGGAACTTTTGGAACTGTAGTGATTTATACCAAGTTTTTGTCATAATAATATTAATTTTTTTCCCCATCAAATTGTATTAAATTTTTCAAACATATAATCAATACAGTCAAACATCAGTGCTGTATACATTTCAATAGGAGGTATAAACTTAAATGCCTTATAAGTGGACCTTACAGAAATATTATAATAACAGAGCATTTCCCCAACCATAATATAAAACTAACTATAACTTTATATAATAATATTAAAGTTAATAAACCTACTTAGTTTGAACTGTATCCCAAGTTTGCTTCCACCCTTCCCATTCAACAAATCTGATTGCTTTTCAGTGAGCTTCAGAGTAGTTTTTGCTTTGACTATATTCATAACTTCACGTTTCTTTTAACAGTTTTGAACATATTAGCCATTGTGCTTTAGTAGGAGATGAGCGAGTACAAGAGTGTGGGATTAATGGTTTTTTTGGGGGGAGTCCAGCAAGAGGAAGGATGGCATAATTTGGGCAATAGAACAGTATAGCCATCCTGTGTTGCCATCCCATCTTCACATGCCTTGCAACAAATATTAGTTGAATTTCAGATGGGAGGGCTCCACTGTGGAGAGGATTTCCCCTGGGTGCCCTGGGTCTGCTGTTTGTTGATTTCCCTGGCTCATTCTGCCTGATGTAGCCTCCAGAGAAACTGTCAATATATGAAATCCCAGAGCCACGTGACCTTTTTAAAATAAATCTCAAAGCAATCATTAGGTAAGATGCCTAGATTGATTCTCTGGTGCACCGGTTTGGTTTCTTTGCCTTTTGCAGCAGAGAAAGCTGGGAGAGGCAACAGTAATGCAGATGAACCCGAGACTGGTTCATTCATACATGCATATTTGTTGCTTGATTTACCTAAGTGTCATACCACAAACAGCAGTACTCTCTCAGTGCATGTGTTCACATAATCACTTACTGCTGTGCAAACCAGCCCTTAGAGGAATCAAAATTTAGTTCCCTTTTATGTAGAGATTGCAGCCAGTGAGCCATTTGCAGTAGCAGTTATTTGCTTGGTGCTTAAGAAGTAAATACCTATTTGGTTTTGAGGACTGGCAATGTCTCTGTGATGCTAAATCTTTTAAAAGAACTGTAATAATGGGTTGGACCCAGCCAACCTTTTTCTTCACTCTCCCCAATTTCCCTCATTGCTCCAGGCCCTGTCTCACATGGCTTTTATCCGTGCAGGTCCCACAATCCTCAGCGTCTCCTTTTTGGTGGTCAAAGGGGACCCATCATTCCTTTCTCACCAGTGGAAAAGTCAGTTGGATCCACTCCATATTTTAGTGCTTTGTCTATTCACTTGCTATCTGAGTTTTTGTCCTTACTTTGCCAGAATGCTATTGCTATAATTCCAGTTGACTGCACAATTGCTCTTCTTTCAGAAGAGAAATAATAAACCATATGCCTTTTGCATGGCTGAATTAAGCCTTCAATCCATTTGGGTTCTTAAAAATTATTTTTTATGCACTGGCAGCCTTGAAGGTATGCTCTAGCATTGTATTATATTCTGCTATTCGTGTTTTGTAACATAGAATGTTAATTATTTCTCTTCTTTGTTTGCTTGACCTGGCTTTATTGTGGTTGTAGTGATTCTTTGTTTTATGTGTGTGTGTGTGTCTCTTTCAAAGTTTGGTTGCATGGTGGTAAGTAGACTAGAGTGGTTAAGAGAAGTGAGCGTGATATGATTGGTGGTTGACAGAGAGGGGGAGGGGTTTTGGAAATGAAAATGAGTGGATGAGTATGTGTATCAGTCTAGAGTTTCAGTTAGGTTTGACAGTTGATGTTCAATTAGATAGTTTGTTCTGAGGTCTGTGAGAGAAGCAGTCTTGTGTGTGATATAAGAGTTAAGTTCTGTGTATGAAGAAAAGTGACAAGCAGTTCTGTGTTGTGGCAGATAAAAAAGGAACAGCTGCGGTTGTTCACCAAAAAGGGAGAGAGAAAGCAGAAAAGTTGAATGTATAGGAGCAGAGGTCCATCAGTGGCTATTAGCCACAAGGTATAGCTAGGGGCTCTGGGGCAAGTGATGCTCTGTCTTCTTGGTGCTTGGGGGGGTCAACAGTGGGAGGGCTTCTAATGTCCTGGCCCCACTGCTGGACCTCCTGATGGCACTGGTATTTCTGGCCACTGTGTGACACAGAGTGTTGGACTGGATGGGCCTTTGGCCTGATCCAACATTGGCGTCTCTTATGTTCTTATGTTCTTATGTTCACAGTGGTTATTTATAAACATGTTGAGCATACACCTGCCCAACCAAGTGTTTCCAAATTCTGTTGAATTTTCTCCATTAACACCAGGGGAACTGGGCCCCCTACATCAGGAGCTATTTAGGACCAGAGTAGACATTGACAATGCCAGATCCAGATCTGTTGCATTCGCATAGCAGGTGAAGTATGGGGAAATTATTTAAGAACAAAAGTATCAAATGGACGAGGAACAGAAAGCCTTCCTCCTGCCACAGAGTCCACAGACTCTGTGGCAGAAAAGGGTGCAGGACCTGCCAGAGTGGTATACGATTTCAGAGACACAAAGCCGAAGTAAAGGCAGAAGGACTTGTAAAATGGCCTTTTGAAGCAAAGAACAAAAAGATGATCAGAGATTTCTCTCATAACAACTAATAAAATCACATATAAACACTGAATTGTTATAAGCAAGAACTCTACAAGTATATTGTGATATTAACACTTAGATAGTACTGACATTTTTACTAACAGTGAAAAGATCTCCTCCTCTTGGGGTTTTAGTTTAGTGTGGTTTGCTTTTCTTTATCCTTAGTTGTAGTCCCTTCCCTAATATTTCTTTGTAGCTTTTGTAGTATTGGCAAAATAAAAAGTATGCCTCCAGGGATTTAAAAAAAAAGAAAGAAAGAAAGCCTTCCTCCTGCCTACAGCTTGCCACTCTGCAGCTCCTCTACCAAAGCACTTTCCTGTCAGCTGGGGCTCTGATATTGAATCCAGGTGAGGGGGAAAAGGCACCTGGAGAGGGTCAAGCCATGGTAGGAAGCGGAAGATTCAGCTTTGCTCACTGTGTTCCCCTTTTGCCCCTTAAACTGGACTTCCAGCCCTGTGATTCTAGTACTTCTTGGCTTCAGCCGTTGTACAGTCAGGCCCTTAGATGAAACCAAAATAGACTTTCACTGTGACCCTTGCTGTGGCCATGCACCCCATTCTGTGCTGCATATATTTTACGCATTAGAACAGTTTCTTTTCTTTTCTTTTCTTTTAAGGCTGTTCTGGTAAATAAATTAATAACTGGTTCTAATTCCAGTTTTCTGTTGAGATTTAAAAGGCCTCAGATGCACCTGATATAAGCGTAGGCTCAATCAGGGATTCATAAACTGCACCATATCACACCTCCTTGGATCAAGAAATTAATTATACAAGCCTGAAAGATTTCATCTAAGATAAAATAAAGACAGTATTTTTAACAGAACATGAGAACAGGAAGATGTAAAGGAAGACAGAGAGTGAAAACCACAGAATGCTGTAAGATTCCTGATGGAGGCTACTTTGGCGGGAAATGGCAGTAGAGTTAAAATGGCCTCTGTTCTGCTAGGAACAGGAAATAATTCACTGATTTCTTGTGATATTTGCACAGGTTCAGACTCCAAAATATATGTAACGATAAAGGTGTGCATTATCTGTCTTTATCTTTAGAGATCTGTTTCAAATCACCCCAGATGATGTGATATTCATGGCCTCTTACATGACATTTGATCCATCTGTAGTTGAGCTATTTGTTACTCTGGCGAGTGGAGCTTCTCTGCTTATTGTACCCCAGATTATTAAAATGATGCCCCAGGAGCTGTCTGAGGCTCTCTTTGAGCGCCACCGAGTATCTGTATTACAGGTAAGATACGGGAGTGATAACTGAGTGTCCTGTTTACTTACTCTTTGCTGTGAAAGCTGCTTTGGCACAGCACTGGACTGTAATGACAATCAAACTGTACAGTGAATTCCCTCCCTATGCTATGGTACCCTTGATGACTGGTGCCTGAATCTGTGAACATTTCCCCATTGGATGTGAGGAAATATAAAACTTTTGTCTGTAAAACAAGAAATATGTGATAGCCAGTTCTCCCATGCAGTGTGTCGCTTGATTCTGCAGTCACAAGTAATGAATATGCAGGTGGAAACCAGCCATTGGGCCACATCCAGATGATTAAAGGTTGAAAGGTCAAAGACTGTGGTCTTGTGACAGATTAGGCATGCACACCTTTTCTTCATTTCACACATAATGGACACATAGATGATCCACAAGAATTAGGGTTGGCAAGTCGTTTCAGTCGCTGCAGCGGGGGACTCCCGGGCGGCAACTGGAGCGCACGCATGAAGTATGCGCGCGCTGCACGCACATCACCAGGAAGTGACGTGACGCCGCCAGGCACGGCTGGGGGCGGGGCCACAACCATCGGAGGGAAAACCATAGAGTTTTCCCTCCGATGGTCGTGGCCCTGCCCCCAGTGTGCCCGGCGGCGTCACGTCACTTTCTGGTGACGCGCACATCGGGGTGGGGTTCCCTCTGGGGCCTGATCCGCCGGCAGCAGGGAACGGGCCTCTGGGGCGGGGGTTTCCCCGCCCCCCCGGGGGGACTTGGCAAGCCTAACAAGAATGCCCATGTGTGGCCCTGACCTGGATAGCCCAGGTAAACGCAATCTCATCAGATCTCAGAAGCTAAACAGCGCCTACCCTGGCAAGTACTTGGAAGGGAGACCTCCAAGGAGTACCAGGACGCAAAGGCAGGCAATATCAAGCTACCTCTCTGAAAGTCCCCCAGTAGGGGTCACCAGATGTCACCATGACTTCCAGCCTTGCATGCTCATACAAACACACTGGCACATGCAAAAAATATGCATACAAAAAAGAATGCCCATGTGTGCAGAAGGCTTGCTTGCTAGTTCTTCACCCTTTAAAGAACCATGTTGATTGGACTGTGCAGTTTGGCCCTCTGAGCTTAAAGGTGGCTGCATAAACCACTAATGTCTCACATTACACTATGGGTACTTTTCCATCATGAGAAGAGGCTATTTAGGCCAAGTTTAAGTACTGAATCAAGTCTTTCTTTAATGTATTTTATTTCAAAAGTTGCGTGATAAATATTGTCTGAAAATAAATACAGAATTCATCCAAAAGGGCTTACTAGCGACAGCACTTTTTAAATTGTTCTAGTGTACAAGCTTGAGTCATGAATGCTTGAACTTTCTTCCTTTACTAACACAAATTAACCCTGTCACCAGGAAAAGGAGCAAGAAGAATTTGAATTAGTTCTGTTGCTGAAAATTACACCTCGAATTATATTTTTAACAACAATGACAGTGGAGTGATTTTACTGCATAAGAATAGGATTGTAGGAGATTATTTCAGTTGTAACAAATTCCTTTTTGTTCCTCCTTTGCTGGGCTGCTGTTCTTTGTTGGTATAAGCCGAGAACTGCAGAGGAGTAAACAGGGGTCACCAATGAAAATGGTTTGTATGAGGTCTGGCACAGCAGTCCACCACTGGTCTAGCCATTGTGAAGACCATTGGCCTTCATGGTTTTTCCTGAGGATACTTGCAGGTCAGACTGTTGTGTTTCAGGTGCAGCCCTTCTACAATGTGGGTCTGGACTCAACAGACAAAGAACTGAGCTCCTTTTTCTTTTCCATTCAGAGTTCCTGCCAAGGACCTTAGAGAGAAGCGTTGACCACTGATTGTCTTCCAGGAGGAATGCAGTACTGACTCACATCACTCACCCAGGGCTCTTTTTGTAGCAGGACCTCCTTTGCATATTAGGCGACACACCCCTAATGTAGCCAATCCTCCAAGAGTTTACAGAGCTCTTCTTACAGGAGCTACTGTAAGCTCTTGGTGGATTGGCTACGTTAGGGGTGTGTCGCCTAATATGCAAAGGAGTTCCTGCTACAAAAAGAATGGCTCACAACCATTCTGGGGGAACCATGAGACCCTCTCTGAGTATCCCAACCCATAATATGAAAACCTAGGCTACATATCTCTGGCCAGGGACTGGATTTGCTAAAAGATCCAATAGCAAGAGCTTGTGTGGTCGCCTAGCAGCCATACAGGTGATGCCACTGGTTTCCCCTTCCCTCCAATTCTAATGGTTTCTCAACCCAGTTAGTAATGCTGCTGTGACTATCATAATTTAGTGGTAGAAGCAGAATGAACCCCACATAGGCTGGCAGCCTACTATAGATTAGATTTTGCCAAGAGGATGCAAGTTAGAAGGCTCTGCTATTATGTATACATGTTACATGTACTGGACCATTCTTTTCTGCAATGTGTGTAGGCCACACCAACACTTCTGAGAAGATTTGGAGTTCAGCGCATCAAATCAACTGTGCTATCTGCCAGTACTTCGCTGCGAGTCCTAGCTCTTGGCGGAGAAGTGTTTCCTGACCTGAATGTGCTGAGAAGCTGGAAAGGAGAAGGAAATAAAACACAGGTGTTTAATATCTATGGCATTACAGAAGTCTCTTGCTGGGCTACATGCTACAAGGTCCCTGAAGCGTTATTTGATTCTGATCACCGGTAGGAAATGTCGCTCTTTTATCTACTGCTTGTGCCCTTTAACTTGATGAATGAATGATAAAATAGAACTTGAGGGAATCCAATGAAATTGATGGTCAGTAGGTTCAGGACAGGCAAAAGGAAATACTACTTGACTCAGAGAGTGATTAAAATGTGGACTTTGCTGCCAGAGGATGTAGTGATGGCCACAGGAATAAACAGCTTTAAAAGGGGATTAGATACATTCATGGAGGAGAAGTCTATCAATCACTACTAGCCATGGTGACAGAGGGGAACCTCCACATTCAGAGGCACTAAGCCTCTGAATCCCCAAGCCAGGAGGCAACATCAGGGGAAGGCCTCAGCCTCTATGCCCTGTTGTTAGCTATCCAGAAGAACTGGTTGGCCACTGTGTGAGACAGGATGCTGGACTCGATGGACCACTGGTCTGATCCAGCAGGGCTCTTCTTATGTTCTTAAGAGTCTTCAATCCTCTGCAGATGGAGCAACCATGGTGTACTGCTGTGGGTGTTTGGTATGAGGAATCATTTCAGAGCTAGGCCTCTTAGCATCTGACTTGTGATGAACACAGCCTTGAAAATAGCAGTCCTTTCATAAATAGGATTAGTGCTTCATTTCTGTAAGTTTCAGTTTCTAAGTAACAATCCAGTAGAGATGAAAGCATCTGTAGACAGGTTTGGATGCTTTATTTCTTCACTGACTGGTCGTTTGTTCCCTACCCTTTTGCCTCTCTTTTTCCTCCTGATTTTTAGATTTGATTCCCTTATACCATTGGGGACCCCATTATCTGGAACAAGAGTTGAAGTCAGAAATTCCAGTGGTTCTGCCATTCTGGAAGGTGAAGGTCAAGTGTTTATAGGTGATTTTTCCGTTTAATGGTTTTAATTCTAGAATTCTGTGGCACTAGCTTAGATGGCTATAAACGATTATTCGACAAATTCATGGAGGAGAGATCTGTTAATGTTTATTAATTGTGACAGTTAAATGGAACTTCCATCTTTAGAGGCAGTCACAGAATGTAGTGTGAAGAACAGAGCTGATAAACCAGCTATAAGGCAGTTTTTAGGATGAGTTTTATCAGAAGGGTTGCTTGCACAATGTCAAAAACCATTGCATTGCATGAAAATATTGAGTATATAGTAAAAAAGGTAAAGGTAAAGGTTCCCTTGCTTGAAAGCCAGTCGAGTCCGACCCTAGGGTTGCGGTGCTCATCTCCGTTTCAAAGCCGAAGAGCCAGCGCTGTCCGAAGACGTTTCCGTGGTCATGTGGCCGGCATGACTAAACACCAAGGCGCACGGAACGCTGTTACCTTCCCACTATTTATCTACTTGCAATTTCTTGCTTTCGAACTGCTTGGTTGGCAGGAGCTGGAACTAGAGACGGGAGCTCACTCCGTCATGCAGCACACTCGGGTCTCGAACTGCTGAACTACCGACCTTCCACAGCCTGCAGTTCAGCGTCTTAACCACTTGAGCCACCGCAGCTCCTGAGTATATAGTACCACTGTTGTAAACACATATAGACCCTGTTTCAACTGCATGGCTGGCTGTGTTGTTGTTATTGTGGTTTGCCATGCTCCATTATTGGTGTGTTGCTACTGATGTGCAGCCATTTCTCTTGTTCCTGCTGGTAGTCTTCTGGTCTGCGTTATGTGAGGTCGTGGTGGCACTGATCTGCCACTTGAACTCCTTTTGTGCAGGAGGTGAAGAACGTGTCTGTTTCCTTGATGGCGAAGTTCCATCGCCTGGGGCCACCATGAGAGCAACTGGAGATTTTGTAAGAGTTAAGGATGGAGAAATGTTTTACTTGGGGCGGAAGGACAATCAGATTAAGCTTCATGGCAAGAGGCTCAATATTGAATGGATTCAGCAGGTAATAGAATACATAATGTTATTTAGAGAGTTCTGAAGTAGCCAGAGAGTCAATTCTGGATCATGAAGTGTTTGAAGAACTGATGCCACTCAGTTTCATTCGTGAAGTTTCCTTTCATAGGATCACCAAGATCTTTGCTGGGGGAAAAGGCTGCTCAGTTGAATGTAACAGATTAGTATAGACCAAACCACGCCTCCTCATGTTCAGTCTGGTCTCTTCCAAGCAAGGGGCAGATGAATCATGAGAGACAGAAGGGTGATATACAGTAGGTTTAAAAAGAAGAAGAGAAGAGATTGGATTTATACCCCACCCTTCACTACCCAAAGGTGTCTCAGAGCTGCTTACAAACTCCTTTCCCTTCCCCTCCCCACAACAGACACCCTGTGAGGTAGGTGGGGCTGAGAGAGCTCTTGACAGAAACGGCTCTTTTTCAAGAACAGCTCTTATCAGAACTACGGCTTGCCCAAGGTCATCCAGCCAGGTGAAAGTGGAGGAGTGGGGAATCAAACCCGGTTCTCCCAGATTAGAGTCCGCGCACTTAACCACTACAAGATGGATAGATAAACTAGGGAGGGGTATCTAGGGGTAGTCAGTAGGAATCAGGGAGAAATGAATTGGAAAGAGAGTTTGAGCATTGGCCATATATGGGTCTCTTCTGTCACAGCTTGTGTTTTCAGGAGATATAATGATCTAGTTATCACTAAACAATTACATGAAAAGAGTTGAATCTTCATTTAGTTGACAGCCAGTAAGCTATTGTGTCAGTGTCGGACCGGAGAGACCCAGGTTCATATCTTTACTCTGCAATGGATGATCTTCGGCCAGTCTCTCTTTCAGCCTCACCTATCTTGCAGGGTTGTTACGATGGTAAAAGGGAGGAGGGAAGAATGACAGATACCCCCCTGAGGTTAGGGTTGCCAGATATTTTTTAAAAACCCAACAACACTGGACACACAAGGTGAGGCTCCACCTCCTCCCAATGCAGACAGCATGCTTCGTGCACTTGGGTTCAGCATCACCCCCTCAGCACAACCAGCGTGCTTTGCGCTCTTTGGGCTTGGTCAGGTTGCCAGCTGACCCCGGCAGTCCAGTGCTTTCACTGACTGTTTGGGAAAAACTGGGAAAATATTGGGAATTTATTGTTCCAGCCCCCCCCCCCCAGCAGTCAGTGAAAATACCAGACCGTCCTGGTCAGTACTGGACACCTGGTCCTTGGAGAGAAGGCAGGATTGAAAATAATGTGTAAGGTAGATACTTGCCCAGTGCAGACTCCCCATGAGTGCGGTCAAACGGCGTGCTGAGAATGGGTTAAACTGCTCCGGTTCTAATCGGATTATATTTGATCTGGATAATCGTGATCACCCTTACCTCCCTCATCCCACCTCACCATGCAGTCACGTTGCTTCCCGGCGTCTACACTACCGATGCGTGGGAGCATGTGTCGGCGGGGTTTTTAATTTTTTTTCTCAGTTTGCGCATGCGCATAGGCACTCATCCGTAGAATGGAGGGGCGAAACTACCACGGCGCATGCGCAGAACCACCAGGGCAAATCAACCCAACCCCTCCAACAAAAGACTTCCCTTTAAACGTTTGACCCGAAAATGGCCTCCGTGAGATCCCGAACTCATCTAAACTCTTAAACAAGTGACCGTTTAAATGTTGGTTTTCTAAACGCAGTAGCAGAGCTCCACCTATGCACACACCGCCAACACATTTAAAAAATGGTGGGTGAAAAGCGGAAGCCTCGGGCAGCTTTCGAAATGGGGGGGGGGTTTAAACCGGAAGGGGCTTGTCACCGGAGGGGGGAGCACACCGGGAAAATGCGGCTTTAAATGGGAGAGCTGAGAAAACACCACTTTTGGACCTGGTAACAAAATACTTCGGGTTAAAGCAGTTTTGAGCTGGAAACCAACGGCGGGGGACAGAAGGCGGATGTTGACTGTGTGATTGTGCAGATAAAATCCGTCGCTGAAGCGTGACAACACCAGATCAAACGGTGCGTCTGAACGCACCCCATGTGTGTTTCTTGGGGCTTCCTGAGATTCTCGTCAGAGTAAGTGAGAGTAATGGTTTTATTTTGCAGCTTGCGGAAGACAACTGTCAAGTGGAAGCCTGCGCTGTGATATGGTACCAAAAAGAGAAATTGATTCTGTTTGTTGTGCCCAAAGGCAGTTTCAGACGAGAAGATCTTTTCAGAAAACTCCAGGGATGTCTCCCCAGCCACTCAGTCCCAGTTGAGCTTTTGCTGATCGACGCTTTGCCTTTGACATCACATGGTAAAAAGAAATGCTTTTATTCGTTTATAAAATAGATTATCTGATTTTCTCTGTTAAAAAAAAGCTTATATTTAAGTATATTATTTCTAAAATTCTACGACACCAGCCCACTACAAACAAACAACCGGGCACATCAGGTTTTAAAAGCATGATAGAATAAAATGGCCTCAACACAATGGAGAAAGCGATGGAGTTGCCCCCTGGGGAGTCCCTTCAAGGAGCCTGGCCAACATGACCAGCAGTAGACACATCTCTTGTGCTTAACTGTTAGTAAAAGGTTCCCTTGCTCGAAAGCCAGTCGAGTCCGACTCTAGGGTTGTGGTGCTGATGTCCGTTTCAAAGCCGAAGAGCCAGCGCTGTCCAAATACTTCTCCGTGGTCATGTGGCCGGCATGACTAAACACCAAGGCACACGGAACGCTGTTATCTTCCCACCGAAGTGGTACCTATTTATCTACTTGCAATGTCTTGCTTTCGAACTGCTAGGTTGGCAGGAGCTGGAACTAGAGACGGGAGCTCACTCCGTCATGCGGCACACTCGGGTCTTGAACTGCTGAACTACCGACCTTCCACAGCCTGCAGTTCAGCGTCTTAACCACTTGAGCCACCGCAGCTCCTTGCTTAACTGTTACAAAGAGACTAAATGTGGGGGGGTGGGGTTAGTGAATCAGCACAAAAGAAAACTATGGGAGGTATGCCCAGGGGCATGCAAGTGTGTGGCGGGGAATTTTGTTTTTCCTTTTCTTCAGAACAATAAACTCCCATACCATGTCTCAAATTGTTTTACAATTCATTCTAAAGAGGTTTACTATGACAGTATTCAATCCTAAATAGTTACATTGTAATCAATTTCAGAATAGTTATATGTAGATTCTTTGGGCCTAGCTTCTGGTTTCATTGAAGCCAATGAAGTTATAGCAAAATAGATACACATACCTGAAAACAAGGAAATCTGTCCTCAGGCTAAGAGCCATTGCAAATAAGCTGAAGTGCTAAATTCTTAGATCCCATGTAAGCAATGTTCCCTCTAAGCTGTGGAGTCTTGTGAGCAAAAATTCTACTTTGTGAGCTGCTGGCATTAAAGTTGTGAGCGAGCAATTTGGCTACTGCATAAATTAGTTTGCTCTGGGGCCATTCCCTTCCTGAGCTGAGACAAAAATGTGTGAGCCAGAGGCTAAAAAACTGTGAGCTAGCTCACACTAACTCAGCTTAGAGGGAACACTGCATGTAAGCTTGTTTTATTTTTTAAAAATTTTTGTGTTAAAGGGAAAGTTGATGTGTCTGAGCTGAACAAGATCTACAGCAGCCATCTGAATTCCAGAAGGAGTGACAGGAAGCTGAATAAGAAAGAAGAATTGTGGGAGAGACTGCAGGGGTTCTGGAAGGTAGGGTTTTAAGGTGCCCCCATGCATCTGCATTGTATTAATTGGGTTCTCACAGGTGCCTTGGGTGAAGAATGCAGGCTCCATATTCTTGCCTCGTATAAATTCTGTCCTACATTTCTTCCATTCATTTGACATTTCAGTGAAGCTCCTGGCAGTAGTTGTATGGAAACTATTTGTTTTTCCAAAAGGTAGAGATTAAAATTGAGGTAGTAATTGCAAACAGGGTGAATTATGCCAAGACTTTTGCACTATTGCTTCAGGTGCCAAAAAGGCTTTTGAAATTTGCCTTTCTAGCAGTAATTTGGGAATGATTCTTTTAATTAACTCTATTCAGCATTTCCTAATAGGTTTAGGTATTCATTTTTTATGAAATAGAAATGACAAAGAAATGGGTGAGATTTTCCCCACCATATTCTCATGCAGTTAGTTGTGTCCCCTTTTTGTCACAGGGATATACTATGGTATAAAGTTCAGAATTAGAATCCAGCACAGCAATCTCTCTCCACTCTTGTTGCTGACACTGTCAAATGTTCAAGATGTATCCAGGCACTTTGGCTGCGGAAGGGTATGCCTGGCAGGGCAGAATGTAAGAGAAACTGAGAAGAAAGCCGGAAGGAAATTTGCACTTTATTCATTGTACAAGAGAAGAGGACAACAACATTCTCCTTCTGGCTTGTGCCTCTGAGTAATAAATTATGAATACACTGTTAATAGAAGTGTCCCCATTCCCGTAAGAACTATTATAAATATCTTAGAATATTATGAATATAATCCCGGAAAACAATTAGCACTAGTATTTCTAGATGCGGAGAAAGCATTTGATAACGTTAATTGGGAATTTCTGAAATACAAGTTAGAAGTATGGGAATGTGGGAAAATCTTTATGAAGATGATAGTGGCTACATACAAAGAACAATGGGTGAAAATAAATATCAATGGAGAATTAACACAAAATATACGGATACAGAAAGGAACAAGACAAGGCTGTCCACTATCACCATTACTATTTATTTTTGGATTAGAGACACTAAATGATATGGTGAGAAATAATGCAAACATACGGGGACTCAGAGTCAAGGGTGAACAATTCAAGCTACAAGCCTTCGCTGATGACCTTGTATTTATTTTGGAAAAACCAGTAACCTCTATAAGGCATCTGATGATCCAACTGCAAGAATACGACTCCTTAGCAGAACTTAAAATTAATATTAAGAAAAAGATTATAACAAAAATTGTACTAAAGAAGAAATAAACAATATACAATTGATTACAAATATTGAGGTGGCAAAGAAAGTGAAATACTTAGGTTATTACTATTACAAACAAAAACGCACAATTGTATGAAAACAATTATAAAGTATTAATAGAAGAAATCAAGAAAGATTTACATAAATGGCATGACTTACACATTTCATTTATGGGCAGAATTGCCACAATAAAAATGAATATCTTGCCACGTTTTTTGTTTTTGGTTAGCAGACACAGAGGGGTAGCAGTATGGCAATCGTATTACATACAGAAATACTGCAACAGTGCAACCAATATAAATACAAATAATTGTATGAACACTACAGAATAATCACTCCATGATGTTTCTCAATCTAGGTGTCACGAGAAGAACATACAAGTTGTCATGAAGAAGGACGAACTTCCCCGGAGTAACCGTTTCGTTTCGATATTTCTTTTTCATAGCTTTTCCAGCTTACCTAAGGGACCGCCTTTCCTCATATGTTCCCCCGCGAGCACTTCGGTCTGGGACCCAACACTTCCTGGCAATGCCAGGTCCCAAAGAGGCCAGGCTGGCCGCTACCAGGGCCAGGGCTTTCTCGGTGGCGGCTCCTACCTGGTGGAATGAGCTCCCGGAGGAGATCCGGGCCCTGCGGGACCTTATGCAGTTCCGCAGGGCCTGTAAGACGGAGCTCTTCCACCAGGCGTATGAGTAGGAGCCGCCACTAACATCACCGCTATTCCATCTATACCTGGCCCTGGATGAGGTGAACATCAGTCCCTGGAGCAGATGAGGCTGAACAGTTATAAAAAATGCCATCTGATCTTATGTTGAACATCTAGAGCACTCTAGTCAAATAATTGTTAAGAATGTTTTTGTATTGTGGGATTTATAAATGTTTTTAAATTTGTTTTATATTGGCATTGCCACCTGTAAGCCGCCCTGAGCCCGCATCGCGGGGAGGGCGGAGTATAAATCGAATTAAATAAATAAATAAATAAATACAAATATCCTGACAAGAAACATAAACATTACTCATAACAGGAAACCATCCCCGCCTTAATACACAAACCATCAAAAATTCAGAAACATATATACAGTTCTGCTTCCACTTATTCATTCACCTTCCGAAAGGATATCTCTAATTCTATGAATAAAACATATTTGATTATATTAAATGTCTTAATTTCATTATTCTATATCCATACATAAGTGCTATATTCTTTATACAAGATACATATGTAAAAAATCCTTACCCCAGCAACTTCGGAATAACTTATAACCGGCACATAGCCTATGTATCAAATCGGGCTGATCAGCCTTAGCAATAGCCCTCATTGCTTGATCTTATATCCTAATTGATGTGTCACCTGCTTCCTAAAAGACGTTGCCAACTTACTATGTTTGTTGTTTCCAACACATTCATATCATTGTTCATACCAGAACCCAAAGACAAGCAAAAGAGCAAAACAATACTTATCCACGCAACCTAATGTACGTCCATAAACCTACAGTTAAAAATTCTCACTCTAAGTTGTTACAAAAAACATGACAGTTCAAGGGCTGCATTCAATCCCACTGGTTGAATCGTATCCAATCTAAAGCACCAATAGGCTTCCCTTTGAAGTAGTATTTTACATGTGTCACAGGACTCATAGGGTTTAGAGCGAATGACTTCCAAAACTGTACACTTAAAATCATCTGGGCGATGGCCCGCCTCCAAAAAATGAGGTACCAGGGGGGCTTCTTGGCAAGCATGTCTATGTCTTGATTTATGCTCAAGCACCCGGGTTCTAAGTGCTCGTGAGGACTGACCTACATATTTCAAACCACAGCCACACATTAAAAGGTAAACTATCCCTTTCGTGGCACAGGTCGAAAAATGAGTGATATCCTTTCTGTAGTTCACCTCTGGAAAGTCCAATACGTCTGTTTCCCACATCTATGGGCATGCAGCGCATTTCTTACACCTAAAATGGCCCCTAGGGAGGGTATCCTGTTGACTACTCTGATGTAGGTCGGCCCTAATGATCTTATTCCTTATGCTACTGGTCTTTCTAAAGCCTATGGTCGGAAGATTTTGACACAAGGGTACATTGTTAAGCATATGCCAATGACGCAAAACTATCCTTTTAATGTCATATGATCTATTGGTGAAGTCCAGAGCCCAATGTAGTTTGTCCTCACAACGTTTAGGTCTTCCTTGTAACAGGTCTACTCTATTTCTCCGCCTGGCTCTAAACCTAGCTGTTTCAATTATCCCTGGTGGATATCCTCTGTCCCTGAATAGCCGACTGAGTCTGTCTGACTCTTTTTCAAAATCTTCTTCGATTGTGGAATTTCTTTTTGCTCTCAAAAACTGTCCATAAGGGAGGTTTACTTTGAGATGACTTACTTGGTGCGAATTATAATGTAAATAGGAGTTCCTATCTGTACTCTTGTTGTATGGACGAATTGCCAACTTATTGGCTCTAACATACACAGTAGTGTCTAAAAAATTCAATTCAGTAATACTCATAGAATGTGCAAATTCGATGGATTCATGGACTGTATTTAACCATCCCACAAACTGTTCTACAACCTCTATTTTATCAAAGGGCATGAACAAATCGTCTATGTAACATTTGAAAAATACAATATGCTCCCAAAAAGGATTGGTACTCTCATTCATAATCCATTTATTCTCAAATTCACCCATGAAAAGGTTGGCAACACTGGACGCAAAAGAGCTGCCCATTGCTACCCCTTTAATTTGAAAGTAGAACTCATTGCCAAACCTAAAAAAGCTTTTTTCAAAGATAATATCTATCAGGTCTAGTAGAAAATGTGTGGAAGGAACACTATGCACTCTCTGCTCCAATGTCCTAAGCAAGCATGACCTCGCCTTTTCGTGCGGGATGTTGGTGTAAAGTGAATTGACATCGAGCCTTCGGATATCATCAGACCTTCCACCTGTTTAATAAAGGCACATGTATATTTAATATAAGAGGGAAGAGTCTCCACAAGGGGTAGAGAAAGGAATCTACATATTTGGACATATTTGATTTTAAGTGTACAGTTTTGGAAGTCATTCGCTCTAAACCCTATGAGTCCTGTGACACACGTAAAATACTACTTCAAAGGGGAGCCTATTGGTGCTTTAAATTGTATACGATTCAACCAGTGGGATTGAATGCAGCCCTGGAGCTGTCATGTTTTTTGTAACAACTTAGAGTGAGAATTTTTTATTTATTTACGCCCTGGGCCGTATGGGTAGGGCGGGATATAAATCCCAAGAATAAATAAATAAATAAATAAATAACAACTTAGAGTGAGAATTTTTAACTGTAGGTTTATGGACGTACATTAGGTTGCGTGGATAAGTATTGTTTTGCTCTTTTGTCTGTCTTTGGGTTCTGGTATGAACAATGATATGAATGTGTTGGAAACAACAAACATAGTAAGTTGGCAACGTCTTTTAGGAAGCAGGTGACACATCAATTAGGATATAAGATCAAGCAATGAGGGCTATTGCTAAGGCTGATCAGCCTGATTTGATAGATAGGCTATGTGCCGGTTATAAGTTATTCCGAAGTTGCTGGGGTAAGGATTTTTTACATATGTATCTTGTATAAAGAATATAGCACTTATGTATGGATATAGAATAATGAAATTAAGACATTTAATATAATCAAATATGTTTTATTCATAGAATTAGAGATATCCTTTCGGAAGGTGAATGAATAAGTGAAAGCAGAACTGTATGTATGTTTCTGAATTTTTGATGGTTTGTGTATTAAGGCGGGGATGGTTTCCTGTTATGAGTAATGTTTATGTTTCTTGTCAGGATATTTGTATGAAAAAGAAATATCGAAACGAAACAGTTACTCCGGGGAAGTTCGTCCTTCTTCATGACAACTTGTATGTTCTTCTCATGACGCCTAGATTGAGAAAAAAAGAATAAGATTAAACATCATGCAGTGATTATTCTGTAGTGTTCATACAATTATTTGTATTTATATTGGTTGCACTGTTGCAGTATTTCTGTATGTAATACTTTTTTGTTTTTGGCACAATGTATACCGATACTGAAAAACAATAAAATATGCGAGGATTTAGATCAAATAGTAAGAAAATTCATATGGCAAGCTAAGAGAGCGCGTATTAAGTTGAAGTTGCTGTGTGATAAAAAAGAAAGAGGAGGGTTTGGATTACCAGATTGGCAACTGTACTATAAGGCGACTGCGATGGGATGGATACGAGAATGGATATTATTAGAGGACAAGAGAACACTAACTCTAGAAAGTCATGATCTACACATGGGCTGGCATGCCTAAGTGTGGTATAACAAAGACAAAATACAACAAAACTTCCAAAAGCATATAGTTAGAGAAGCACTAATAAAAATATGGAGAAACATAAAAGAGAAGTTCTATGACAAAACACCTATGTGGGTATCTCCGCTAGAGTTGTTTATAATGCCAATTTTAATGACAGAAAATAAAAATGCCAACTATGAAATACTACTAACAAAAATAATGAATTAAAATCCTTTGAAGCAGTACAAGCATTAAACATTAATCTTACAAATTGGGGAAAAGTACAATTAAAATCAGGATTTGCAAATGACAAAATAAGAAACTTTGTAAAAACAAAATCAGAGTTCGATAAATTGTGGTTGTCATCTGCGGATAAAGTGATTCAAAAGTTATATAATTTCTTACTAAATAATGAGATGCAAGATGAGATAATAAAACCATCTATGAGAGTTTGGATGAAGGATCTGGGATACAACATAAATTTAGACAAATGGTCAAAAATATGGAAATCAACAAAATTATTAAGAGCTACAACATATAAGGAAAATATCTCTAAAATGTGTTATAGGTGGCATTGGACACTGGACAAGAGTGCTAAATGCTACAAAAATGTCTCAGGGAACTGTTGGAGATGTTAAAAAAACATTGGATCATATTACCATATATGGTGGAGATGCGAGAAGGTCAGCAGATTCTGGAAAATTATCAAACAATTAATAGTAGAGATAACTGAAATAGATTTGAAGTTAGAACCAGAAGTATACTTACTTAATATGTTACCATATGGGATTAAATACAATGACATGTTTGATATTATATATCCTTACTACGTCTAGAATTCTCATAGTGAAATGTTGGAAATCAGAATACCAGGTAGAGAAGAATTAATTATGAAAATTATGGAAATAAAAGAAATGGATAAAGTAAATATGATACTATCAGGAAAAAATGAAAATATGTTTAAAAAAAGATGGCAAAAAATAGATAGATGGATGGGAAAAAATGTGTAATGTAAACTCCAAAATTTGTTGTATAAGATTATATCTTGTGGGGGTTTTTTTGGTTGTTATGGAAAAAGATAAATAAACTATATTAAAAAAAACAGTTGTAAAGCAATAAATATGTTAAAATAGCAGGGGGGGAAGAAGTGTTCCCATTCCCCCATTCTTAAAAAATAATTTAAAAAAAGATTTACAAAAACCGGGTCCCTGTTCTGAGTGGGCTGTCTGTAGTCTGTTCCTCTTGGAGTCTGTGGTTTCCTATTGCTCTGTAGATTAGTATCCTGCTGCGAGCTTGGAGGTGCAGTTGTCGCATGATCAAGTTCCTTTGTTTATTCCATTTTTATCCTGCCCTTCCTCCTAAGAGCTTAAGGTGGCATATAGGGTTCTCCTCTCCCCCATTTTATTCTCACAACACTCTGTGAGTTACGTTAGGCAATGAGAGAATGTCTGACCCATTGTCAGCCAGTGAGCTTAACAGCTGAGCAGCACTTTGAGCTCTGATCAGCCCAGTCCTAAAGGGCCACTACACCCAACAGTGGCTCTCTGAAGGAGGCCTGTTAACGTACCTCTGTTTCTTCTCGTCTTCTCTAGTCTCTTCTGAATCTTCCTGATGATTCCAGCAGCATTTCGGAAGATTCATCATTTTTGAACAGCGGTGGAGATTCTTTAAGATCGTTACACCTCCACGATGAAATTGAAAATCTGGTTGGCAGGGCCATTCCTGGCCTCCTGGAAGTTATTCTCAGTCGCTCCATTGCTGAAGTCTACAAACATGTCCTGCAAGCCGCTTTTCCAAGCGAAGATCAAAAGTTAAGTTGCAACAGCTCCGAAAAAAGGAAACGGAGAAACAGTAGTGGAGAGGAGCCAAGGATAAAGGCTGTGAAGCCAAACGTTGGAAGGTCCCTAAAAAGTGAAGCCCACAGTGTTGGATTCGTTGCAGTAAGCCGCGGAAACCGATTGTTGTCCACAGATGAACACCTGAAGAACCAGGGTAGAGCAGGAACTCAGCTAAGAGAATCAATGCCCTTTCCACTTGTTCTAAGTGAACACAGAGGGAATGAAGTTTTGAAGAGTAATGAAACAGTTGCTAGCCATGCAAATACAACAGAAATTGACTCTGTGCAACGAACTCACCTAGAAGAGAACCTTGGAAGAACTGCTGGGAAGTTGACATTAGACGTAAGGTGGAAGTCAGACTTGGGCAAGTGTGTGGATGCCTCTCCCCTAGTTGTAGTACCAGTCATTGACCAGTTATCTGCCTCTGTATATATTGGATCTCATTCTCATGCAATTCAGGCAGTTGACTTGTATTCCGGAAAAGTGAAGTGGGAGAGATGCCTTGCAGATCGCATAGAGTCCTCTGCCTGCGTGTCTCTGTGTGGAAACTTCATAATTGTTGGTATGAATGCAAATTTTGTTTTCTTTGATGTTCTGGACAAGACTTACTGAGCATCTAGGTGCTTTTCAAGGGCAGTCGCTACATGTCTGTGAATAAACCCGTACCGTGGGGTAGCAGCAGGGCTGGTTGGAGGTGTTTCTGCGCCCTAGGCGAGGCTGCCTTATGGCGCAGATGCTAACCTCCCAGTGGGGCCTGGAGACCTGGAGACCACTGGAGCCAGCCACCCTTTTGCTGCTGCCACCACTGCCTCCCCCCCCCGCCACCACCAAAGGGGGGGAGGAGGGGGAGGCACAGCTTGGCGCCCCATCCAGGGCCCAGCGCTCTAGGCGAATGCCTAGTTGGCCTAGTGGGTGAGCCGGCCCTGGGTAGCAGATTTCTTAAAATGTGAATCCAGCATACACATCAGTGGAGACAAGTTTATGATTATCAGCTGCCCACATTTTGTTTACCTGGAGCCAGAATACAAGCTTCAGCGTCTGATGATCCTGAGCTTCTGTGGCTTGGATTATCTTCTGGAACCAGAGAGCTCCCTTTGCTTCTTCCCCTCTTTACACCATACCTACCATTGCTCTCCAGCATCCTGGGGATTACATCGTGGCCTCTCAGTTGCTTCCAGAACAGCACCCAAGATACTTGGGGAGGAGATGAAAGTGCTCTGTTGGTCCATTAGGGTTGCCATTCTCCAGGTGGTGGCTGGAGACCTCCTGGAATTATAACTGGTCTCCAGATTACAAAGATGAGTTGAGAAAACAGCTTCTTTTGATGATGGACTCTATAGCATTGTACCTCACTGAGGCCCCTCCCCTCCTGAAACCCTGCCCTCCCCAGGCTCCACCCCCCCAAATCTCCAGGAATTCCTCAGTCCAGAGCTGGCAGTCCTACTGCCCCGTTCACCTGTTGGTTGGCTCCCAGCCTTCCACGACAACAGCTGTGGCCCCATCCAGGTGTTGTTAGGGAGGACTGGTAGTCGGTAGGAAGCCCTTTGAAGGGTGGGGCTGTGTTTGGGGGCTCATGGGGAAGGTCTGGAAATTCTGAGTGAATGGAGAACGCTGTTGTTTCCCCCTGAGCAGTCTCCAGTGTGCCCTTGAAGCCTGTGGGATTTTGCCCATCTGTTATTCGCACCACTGGATTGTGAATTGAGTTCGGATACTTGTATACATTTTGAGAGCTTGTAAGTATTAGAACATTTTTTGCTTTGCTGGCATTGCAGCAGCTACAATGCATACCCAAATATCTCTATTTTCTGCCTCTTATTTTGTGCAGGGTGTTATAATGGGTTAGTCTATGTACTCAGAAGCAGTAATGGGGAAATACGATGGACGTTTGTTGCGGAAGATGCTGTGAAAAGCTCTGCAGTGATGGATCCTTCCACGGGGCTGGTTTTTGTTGGATCTCATGACCAGCATGTATATGCTTTAGATATTTATGTAAGTAGTTGTAAAGCATACAAGAACTAACAAAAATGCCTCCTTGAATGAATACCTGCTTTACTTCAAAGCAGCTCCATTAATTTAATTGGGACTCATTTCCAAGTAAGGGTGCCTAGAACTGCAGTCTTTATGCTAATAATCAAAATGGGCTCCATAAACTGAGAACTGTAGGGCATCAGCTGTTACGTATGTATTTAGGTTAATTAGATATTTAAAAGTGATTAGATTATTCAGTACTTAAAATCCTGTTTTGCCGTGTTAGTATATGCATCGGTGCTAACACCAAACCGAACTTTGTTTTACTGCTATTTTTCAACTGAGTATAGCACATCTCTCCATGTACACTTTTTGCCTCTAAATGTATATAGCACTGTTAGTTTACGGAACAGAATTGTGAACATAATTTCTTGCTGACTATGATTTAAAAAAAAAAAAAAAAAGTACTGGAGTGGGTATCTTTAGCCAGAAGAATTATCCAAGGTACAGCTGTACTAGTTTGCAAAGCTTTGGAAATATCAGCCTGCCCGTTAACCTTTCACGAAATGGCGTAATCTTGTGTTTACTTTTTGGCATGTTGACAGAAGGAAGAGTGTGTCTGGAAGTTACACACTGACGCCGGAGCTGTATTTTCCTCCCCTTGCCTAAACCTCTTGCCACACCACCTATACATTGCTACACTCGGAGGGCTGTTACTGGCTGTAAACCCTGTATGTAACTTTCTTGCCATATATGGTCCAGAAATGTGTACTGAACAAGACTGACAAAGGTGTTAAGAGCTCTGTAAGAAGGAACAGGAAGGGTTACCCATGTAGGTTAGAGGACAGCATTGTGTGGCTGATAAGGTGAGAGAAGCGGCCATAAAGATCCCACCTGACTGTGCTGATATGAGCTTTTCAGAACTCTTGTCTGGTCAGCACACCCCGAGTCCAAACCCCCCCCCCCCCCGGCAGTCCATCAACAGACCACAGTGAAGGATCGAAAACCCTGAGAATTTATTCTGTCAGATTAATTCGTAACTTTTTCAGCTGCTTTGGAGCTTTTATTGGGCATGACAAGATCTGGGGTTTTGCATTCCTGAATGTTTTATGCGACTTGTGACCTTGCATTGTGTGAGCCCACGTCAGACGGCCCTTGCAGGACAGGATGTGTTAGGATCAAAATGCAAAGCTGAACTGAGAGGCCACATTGTTCACTTGCATTGTGTTTGCCTGGAGGGTAAGAGCTTGCTGAATTTTTCCTCCTGGTCCCAGTGACAAATTTGCATGCTCCCTCTCCAAACATGTAGAGGCCTTGTCTCAGCAAGTCTAATAATATTTCTCAGGTACAAAAGGGCAGGCAGGCAGTATTTTGAAAAAGATGTTTTCAGGAATTCATGTCTTCTGTTTGGAACTATACCCTTCCATGGCCCACCTACCTGGTGGAATGAGCTCCCATATGAGATCAGGGCCCTGCGAGACCTTTTACAGTTCCGCAGGGCCTGCAAGACGGAGCTCTTCCACCAGGCTTTTAACTAGGGCGACGGACGTCCCTCCTTCCTTACTGGGCCTCCCCTCAGCGAGTCAGAACTGTGGCATCTGTGAGGCCTTAATTTTAATGACATCTGCACCGGGTAAAGGATAGTTCTGTATTTTATTGGTGTTTTAATTCTGTTAATTTCTGTATATTGTGTTTTTATCAAATCTGATGTAACCCGCCCTGAGCCTGCTATGCGGGGAGGGCAGGATACAAGTCGAATAAAATAAATGCAAGATGCACCACAGCTGGATGCGAGCAATTGAACAAAAATGTGAAATATATGCTGATGGATCTACTGTCCATATTCCCAGAAATGTGAATGTAGGCGAAATTGTTAAAGTGGCTTCAGTGCAGGAACAGCTCCTCCCACAGAAAGCCCATTGCCTGTCCACTTTTTAAAGGGAAACCTTTAGTCTTTCTCCCAGTAACAGATAATTCCAAATTAGGGTTGTCAGCAATGTTCCCTCTAAGCTGTGGGGTCTTGTGAGCAAAAATTCTACTTTGTGAGCTACTGGCATTAAAGTTCTGAGTGAGCAATTTGGCTGCTGCATCAATTAGTTTGCTCTGGAGCCATCCCTCCTGAGCTAAGACAGAGGCTAAAAAACTGTGAGCTAGCTCGCACTAACTCAGCTTAGAGGGAACACTGGTTGTCAGCCCCCAGGTGGGGCCTAGAGCTCTACCGGAATTACAACTGATCTCCAGATGACAGAATCAGTTCACCTGGAGAAAATGGTTGCTTTGAAAGGTGGACTCTATGGCATTGCACCCCATTGAAGTCTCTCCCCTCCCCAAACACAACTTTTCTCAGGCTCCACCCAAAAATCTCCAGGTACTTCCCAATCCAGACCTGGCAACCCTATTCGAGACCTTTGCTCAGGTGCTAAGTCAACCCTTTAGTCAGAACCATGGAGGGCCCTGAACAGTATGTTTGGTTCACATTGACAGGTTACGGGGAGTCCAATCTGGAAAGGCGTTTGTGGAAAACCTGTCTTTTCATCACCACATTGCAACAAGGACTGTGTGTGTGTCGGATGTGTAGATGGAAATTTGTATTGCTTTAGCCACTTCGGAGAAAAGGTAAAAACAGCCCCTCATACTACCATTCTACAGAAAATGTACAGCAGCTCTCATAATTTCTTACCTAATATATGAAACTGTGAAGTGAACAGTGCTGAATTTGCTACCTTAGTCCTTGCGTATATTTGATCAAACTAATTGCAAGGAGAGATAAAGATTATCGACACTTTGCATTATCATTTTGTTCCTAATGTTAAATCGGTGTATGTTTTGGCAGCGCTAAGTGAAATTTAAATTATGTACTTAACTTCCTAATATTGTTTTATAGGTCTGGCAGTTTTCCACTAATGGGCCAATTTTTTCATCACCATGCCTTTCCAGTTTTGCTAGAGAAGTATTCTTTGGCTCCCATGACCACTTTACTTACTGTTGTAATAGGGAAGGTGATTTAATGTGGAAATTTGAAACCACATCAACAGTATATGCAACACCATTTGTTTTCCACAGTCGTGACTTGGAGGATAAAACACTTCTGGCAGTAATATCTACAGATGGCAGAATTTGGATCTTGAACGCTAAGACTGGTGTGGTAGAAGGTTCAGGGAAACTTCCAGGGGAAGTGTTCTCTTCTCCTGTCGTATGGGGAACTAAGCTTGTTGTTGGCTGTAGAAATAACTATGTTTATTGCCTGGATTTATGTATATCAAAAAACAGTAAGACTGCCTGAAATCTGCAGTGGACAGTTTCCTTTTCAGACTTTTCCTCCCATATGTTTGAGCTCTGGTTATTCCAACTGTGCACCTTTTGGACCCTGTCATGTTTATAAAAATAAAGCATCAAAGGCAAGGTTGTGTTAACAATTTAAACTAACAATATGATCTGCATCTCCGCTAAGCCTGGGTGCTTAAAATTAAATTGATGCCATTGTTTGTGCATATTGTACAGATAACCAGGAATCCTTTAGAAAGCATATTAGACGTGGTTATAACTAGCTATATGTATTAGCTAATTAAAAGCATGATAAATATGCACTGTGTTTGTTGCCAACTCAGATTCATTAACACACTTTCAAAACTGGAATTGAATTTTTCTCAGGGACAAATGGTGATATGTAACATTTAACAACTTGTTTAAAATAATACGAGGCTATGAATGTACAAACCCATAATCATTTGATTGCAGCAAAAATTGTTTGGGGCATGTTACTGAAAACTACTGAGTTAGTTAACTAAGACCTTAGGTATTGTAGGAACAGATGAGCTGACTGATGCAGTTTCCCAAAGAATGGATCTGTTCACTTCAGTAACTTCTAGTGGAGAACTCTTGCAATTTTGAAAGTTTGTATGAACGATAAATTAAAATGGATATATTTAAGATGTTTAGATAGTTCCAAATATTAGAAGTGCCTGGCTCTGTTTTGTTTCCCCATAGCATCTGTTTTACTAATGGCATACTTATGGCATGTTGAAGAATTGTGCACATTGCACGGAGGAACTATTAAAGGTAACAATAACCTCCTAAGACATATGTCAGTAACACTTACTGATCAGGATCTCCACCTGTGTGACGAAGTGTGCACTCACACGACAGCTCACATCTTGATTAAAAAACTATTGGTTCTAAAGGTGCCATTGGACTCTAACTTTGTTGTATTGCTTCAGACCAACAGGGCTGCCCACCTTGATCTATATTTGTGGGCTGAGTTCATGGGTGGATGTCATAGTATTCAACTGATTTTTTTTTCTCCAGATGAAAGAAGATAAATTAATATTATTTGGTAATACAGAAATTTGTTGTACTGTAATTGTTTACATATTGCCAGAGAGGATGAAGTTGAGAATTTAAATATCTATGTCATTACAGAGCTTTTTACAAAAGTGAATGAATGAATGAACGATGAATAAAAAGGACTTTCACAGCCACATGAACACTTGCAAGGTTTTTTTTTTAATTGAAATAGAACAAATTTTCAGTGATGGACCATTTACATTGAAATTTGACAATCAAAAACTGAAAATAGAAATTGCACTAGTATATTCTTTAGTCATATGACATTTTACTCAGGTTTTATTGTTGGTAAAAACACATAGTTAGGTTCCTGTAGCAATGCAGGCCCTCCTTATAAGATAAACCTGATATTTTAAACAAAAAGACAATGAATACATACATCTGATAACTTTCAGCAGGTTATAATTTAAATAGGAATTAAAATGACATTAGTATAAGAAACAATTGCACTTTAAAACATTGAAAAATTAAAAAAGTACACAAAACAAAACCCCACAATTGTACCTTTGTTTATAATTTTATACACCACTATATGAACAATAGAGGTTAATCGTACATAACCTCAGAAATAATGTTTAGGCCACAATGCAGAGAAAGTTAGTTATGCCTAATTCCTGTTGAAATCAGTGGGCTAGCATAGTCATTTGACTAGTCAAACTCCCTTGCTTTCACAACAGGATTTAAGTGGGACTAACCTCCTCCATATCATGACCTTTGTTTATAAGTTACCAAAAAAAATATATTGAGGCCATATTCTACATAGTGGTTGGGTCGGTTTTTAAACTGTTTCAGTAAAGCGTTCCAGCAGTTTGTTCATTAGGAAAGGCTGCAACAGAGCTAAAGCAAAGTAACACTTCATTGGTATTTAGTGCAAAATTTCAGGTTGACTTTACATGAAATAACAATGTTGAAAATAAAGGCTTTTAGAAATGTTTCCAAACAAATATTGTACACATTCTAGCTCTGATCCAGACACTGATTTGTGAGTGGAAAGTGTCTTCCCTTGCCATAGTTATAAAAAACAAAAAGGGCTATGCAGAGCCCCACATTTAGTACCTGGAGTCCTCCCACCTAACCAGCACAGTTACCTCCAGTACACTGATTACTTCTTAGGCAGGGTGAACACAAAGCAGGTTCTTGGCACAGCCCAGGTGCCCCATCTGCCCAACAAATTATCAGTTCTGTCAGTCCTGCTAATAATGCTGTTAGCTAGATCGGTGGGTGGGATGCAAAGGGGCCTCTCTGCTACAGCAGCCTGGGATGGATCTGCCTTCTGTTCTCCTCCTGGTCCCCTAGACTGGGGTCTGTAAATGCCATTTCCAGTATACTAGATTCTCTCATGCTTGAAAACACTTTGCTTTTGAAGCTTTAGAACTATTTACTAACTACACTGTGTGCTAACTGTGCCTAGAATTATTTTGGTAGGCCTTTTCTCTTTCATCATGCAAATACCACCTACTTTTCCTTGTAAACTTATGTCTTTTTTTCTAAAATTATGCTGTTTTCTTCTTTGCATTATCCCACCTATCTTAATCATTCCCCTTCCCCAACTTGTTATTTTCCCATTTCCAAAAAACCCCCCAAAACTAACCATGGGAATAGATCTTAGGAAACATAGAACTTAAATTGCAAGTTATGCAGTTTAGAGGTTTAAGCCTATCTACATTTAAGTGCACATTAAAAATATTTTAATATACCAGCAACAGGATGCTTTTACACCAAGCAAAGTAGGCTGGTAACTTGTTTGCATTTCTCCTCTTCTCTCTTACTGTCCCAGATCCAATAGACACTCCTTCTGTTATCCATGACTTACATCTCTCTAGTATAATGGAGTGTTTGGTGAGTTGTGGATGACCACATAACTGAAATCCACAAAGGTTTATTTTCCTGCTGCAGCTTCACCCAAGAAGAGCTTAATCTGTGCTTTTGGCTTCCCACTCCCTACAAGCCGATGTGGATGAAAAGATCATGTGGGTTAAATGAAAGGGTGCAGCATTACCCAATGTTACACTGCCTGGGAAGTTCCCCACTTGACACATGGAAGCAAATAACGTGAACTATTTTCATGCTCATCATTAAGACCCCTCATGGAATCCTAAAAACAGTATTTGCCTTGCATTACGCCTTCCTGAAGCTAATCATAATCTTTTCTGAAAACAGTGGGTCTTTGGGGATGCTTATGGTTTGAATTCACACAAGAAACAAAAATTACCTTGATAACCCAACAACTGCAGAACAACCCCCCTTGGTCTAGACACACAACCAGTGAACCTAGTGGGCTCTTGAACACCATCTCGGTGGATCTGTTGATGATGGCTATTTCTAAACAGCACAGGCCATCTTGCCATTTCTGTACTCTATAGCAGAACTGCAGGACTCATACTGTTTCCTGTAACATCTACAGAATTTTCCCTCATTCTGCCAGAATAAATTACATGAAAGGCTGTGTTGAATGAGCAGCTTGGTCTCTCTTACAATGTTCTCCATCATATGTGGAATAGTTAGAACACCTTTCTTACAGCTGAATCCACAGTCTCGTTAAGATAAAATTCTATTTAAAGCCCTTGAAGTCAATGAGACTAATGGGAATTTACTGCTTTGTGGACCTTGTTATGATTCTTCAGGTATATGAAACCATTTTAAAGAAATCATGAAACCATTTTCTTCAAAGACTTAAATGCAAGATTTCACTTGCCATTTTTTTTTTTAAAAAAAAGTTCTACAGTCTGAAAAAAGACTGGACTTTGCTTGTTATATCAGTGTAAGTACTGAGAATGCGACAGCTACATTGCTTCTAAACATGCTTTCAACAACAGTGGTGCAGTGATGTTTTGCTAGCATGACACTTTGTTAGTCTGGCACATCTGTCAAAGTACTAATTAAATACCAAAGACAGAATTATTTTCCTGAAAGCAAGCAGAGTATCAGGTCCATAATGAAATTTGAATAATCTAATTCCAGTTTAATTTTTAAAAACAATTCTACAGTTGCCTATTTTCAGAAATTTACTGTATTGCACTTTCCCATGTTGATATGTTGGACTGGAGACAGATATGGATGAAAGTTGTTATTCTGTCAAGGGGGTTGATGTATAGCATTTAAATTATGCATCATTTGTAAGATTTGAGGGCTTGCCATCCCATGTGCTTGTAAATCTGAATTGCTGCTGCATGATGCTCCTCACCAGTGAAAGAGAGAAGTGTAGTGAGGCGCCCTACATTACTGCACATCCTGCTTCTGCCAGTGAAAATCTTGCAGTGCAATTTTCATGTGTGCTTCTGCATGGTGTGGAGAACCACATAGAGGAAGGCAGTAGGAAAATACACATTTGCTATTCCCATATTTATCATATTAATTGTTATATCTAGACTACTCCTGTTAGAAGCTGCTGATCAAGGCAAGTCTGGCAATTATCAATCTTCCTTAAAAATTACACAACCTGTGAAAACATCAAAACAGGATCTTATTGTAGGGTGGCTAACCTGCTACCTGCACTTGGAGAAACTCCTAGACAAAGCTCTGTATGGTAGGACTATGGATATTCATGCTTTCATGAGACTTGAAAGAAATTATTTCAGCATCCTCGTCATTGGGTTGGTTACATTAATAAAAGCTAATCGTCATATATTCTGATGACTACTGAGACAGGAATGGCTCTTTCCAAATCCTGTACCTGAGCAGAGGGTGGCTTGTTTGTTTTTAATTTCCCAGTAAATGGCATTACATTCTCAATTCGAAATTGGAAACATGCACCTTACATTCATTTTCAAAACGGAAGCAGCTGGACTCTACGTTGTTTGCAATAATATAGTCAAAGACCAAGTAGAAATCCAAACCCCTAGGAGTCAGACTTGAGGAACACTGGAACAGAAATTCTTAAAGTAGTCAGAATCTAAAACTTCCTGATCTTTTTTTCACTTAGATGAAACCTGCATGTCTCTTCCCCTTTAGCTGGATGCTTAAAGCAATAGATTCTATAAGGTAGATGAAACCTGCAACGAGCCAGCAAAAACGGAAAACTGAAGTGCTTATATTCTTCTAGGATTTGCACTTAATTTTGTCCAGTTTGTTCTGTCATGGGGAAAGACTAATAAAAACGTGAGAGCAATTAATAAATGACAGTAAAGAGCAAAAACAGCATCGTTTACTTAATGATTTGTGGACAGTCACTCCAGGCTTTCGCTTTCCTCTTGGCTAAAGCCAGCCAGGCAGGTTCTGTTGACACAGGATTAGCATCAGGGGTAGAGAATCTCTTTGCAACTTCTTTTGCCAAGGGTGATGAGGGAACAGAATCGGAGATCTCCACTGTTCGAGAATGAAGGAAAAGAAAAGAAAAAAGAAAACCCATCAGCACAAATCCGCCTGTCATTATAACTATATGGGCATGGGCACTGCAACGATTTCATCTGGGGGGAGGGGGAGAAGTTGGAGATGACAACAAAATCCACACATGTCAAAGTCCTGCTCTGTGACTGATTCAAGATCAAATTGCAAAAGAGCAGTATATTTTTTTAAAAAACAGGCTTTTTGAAAGCAACAGGTTGCCGGTATCTCCAGTTAAAGGATCTCGGGGAGCTTTTGTTGGAAAGACCCTTCCCAGAACTTGGAGAGCTGCTTCCAACAGGCTGGTCCAAAAGTCTGAATCAATACAAGATCATTTCAAATACACGTTTGCATGGTTTGAAACACTAAAAACTGCCCCCCCCCCGCTATATACATTTCTTTGATATATATTTAGATAATGTCAATATTTAGATAATTATGTTATCATCAATGCATTCAAGCGTATGCAACAAAAACAGGTAGGTCGGGGAAGTGACACTAGAGGCAATACCTGAAGCACTGCCATCTGAAATGGGTTACCATGTGACCTCAAATGTACCTGATCTGACCCCCTTTCTTATATATCACCTCACTGCCAACAAGCTCAGGTAAAACCTTTGTTCAGTGGGGGAGGGTTCTCTTATGTCTTGCTTAAACTAGCCCTGTTCACACGTGACAGTGAGTGTATGCATGTAGGATCATAGGGTTGGAAGGGGCCATACAGGCCATCTAGTCCAACCCCCTGCTCAATGCACGATCAGACTAAACATCCATGACCAGTGTTCATCCAGCCACTGCTTGAAGACTGCCAGTGAGGGGGAGCTCACCACCTCCCTAGGCAGCCAATTCCACTGCTGAACGATTGTTAACTGTAAAAATAATTTTCCTAATATCCAGCTGGTATCTTTCTGCCCACAATTTAAACCCATTATTGCGAGCCCTGTCCTCTGCTGGCAGCAGAAATAGCTCCCTGCTCTCCTTTAGGTGACAGCCCTTCAAATACTTAAAGAGAGCAGTCATGTCCCCCCTCAACTTCTCTTCTGCAGATTGAAAATTGCCAAGTCCCTCAGCCTTTCCTCATAGGGCTTGGTCTCCAGGATCCTGATCATCTTCGTCACTTTCTACTGTACCTTCTCTGTTCTGTCCACATCCTTTGAAGTGAGGCCTCCAGAACTGCACACAGCACTCCAGGTGCAGCCTGACCAGTGCAGTGTACAGCTGGACCATGACATCTTGTGATTTGGACGTTATGCCTCTGTTGCTAACCCCAAGACTATGTTAGCCTTTTTTGCCACTGCATCACACTGACTGCTCATATTTAGCCTACAGTCTACCCATAACCCAAGATCTTGTTCACACACACTGCCACTCAGATGTGTATCCCCTATCCAATATGCATGCTTCTCCATTTTGTTACCTAGATGTAGAACTCTGCACTTATCCTTGTTGAATTGGATCTTATTCACATCCACCAACATGTGCTCACTTTAAAAATGGTTTCAGTTACACATTCAGCTGTACATGTGTTAAATGTACAGCCAGTCTACCCTCTACTGCACTGGTAGTTTTTCCAGCTTTTGTTGTTTGTTTTAAATCAGCAATTGACTTATCACCACAGCATTCAAGCGGGGCCCTGCAGGGAACTTGCAGGAGGGAGCTGCTGTCCCTCCTCTTCTTCAGTGCTGCCTGCACTCGTTCACTGCTTGCTCACTTCCTCTCCTGGAGAAATGAATGATAAGCAGCAGAAGCAAAGACACTTCCTTCTCCGCACCCCTTCTCCCAGCCACTTCTGCTTGTTTCCCTTCTCTCCTTAACTGGCTGGCGGCTGTGGATTGAAGCAGAAACTGTTCTGGCTCATCCTCCTTCCAGCCGCTGCCATGTTGCCTGTCAGCTTTTTCCCCTGCTCCATCCCCACTTGTCTCTCTGCCTGTCTGTCTTCTTCCCCTCTACTATCAACCTCCTGCATCTCTCTGAGATCTGCTTCCTGTCCATTATCTGCACAAGTTCAGACAATGCTTCTCCGTGTTTCAGTTTTTTGTAACCACTCCATTTTTAAAAATATAAATATTATATATTCTTCGGCAAATGTAGGATTCCCCCCAAGATGAATATAGCCCCAATCTGTGGAGTTAAGAATCCACACCTGGGTCCATATTAAGAGTTAGGTGATAATAACAGTGTTACAATCATCTATGTCCTAATTCCTCTGAATTCCCAACTTTTGTATTTAAGTCTGTAGCTCCTTTCATTGCAGAGATACGAGGGAAGGCATATCCCTGAGTTCTCAGGGACTCTTGTCTCGAGGAGAAAGCTCCCTAATCAAGTGTCACTATTTTTTAAAAATAGTATTTTTAAACATTCCATCTTCTCAAAATCTATAGACAGACTCTATCCACCAGGAACTTGCAGTTTACAGTACCTTCTGTACAGAGACTACACTTAAGTCACTCTTAGGTGGCCATCACATAATAAGTTGGTTATTTGAGGAGACTCACTACATCATGGAAGCAATTTTCTCCATACCAGTCTTTCTAGGTGTCAGTGGAGAAAACCACTTCTGTTTTTCCTCACAAGCAACTTCTCATGTGACAACAGCTGCCACACAGAATACTTAAAGGATGTCTCCATATAGCTTCTGTAACATACAAAGCAGCCCTGTAACTCATTTGTGAAATGCCTCCAGTTAGCAGGTGTTACAGTCTCTATGAGGCGGGTCACTGTAATTTAGAAAGCAACTGAGTAGTTTTCAGCTGTCCAGAATGCTCTTCTCCATAGAACTGGAGGACTGGTCCTTGGTCTGTGATGTTCTCCTACAAATGGACCTTGAGCTTGTTTGGAGGTTCTAGCAGGGGAGCGCAGCTATCATATACCCTTGACTGAAGAATGGTACACTCCTTCTATCTGGGATGGTTGTCCTCTTCGACTGAGCGCGCAGCTTCGGGAGGGATGCGCATGGAGCGGTGAGGGACGTAGGAGACACCCACCTAGCCAGCCAGATCAGCCGAATCAACCCTGGCGATCAATGAGGTGACAGATGTCACAGACAGATCGCCCTCACATCCCCTTGGTCTGTGACACAGAGATTATTCTGCTGAAGATTTCCAGTCTCTCTTCTATTCCTTCCAATTGTTTTCTAGCTTATGTTTTATATCTTATTAGCAGCCTCATAGCCCAGCCTAGCTGTCTTTCATCAGAGCTTGGAAACTAAGCAGGGTTGTCCACAGTTCTTGGATGAGAGGGAGGCAAGAGGAAACCACCTCTGCTGATCTCTTGCCTTGAAAACCCCATGGTCCTGGGGTCACCATGAGTCAGTCGTGACTTCATAACAAACAATTATTATTATTATTCCATCTTATTCCCCTCCCCCTTCCCACAAAGGAGCCTGCTTCCTTTACTTAAAAAAAAATATTTATATAGTACATTCTACATACACATCACCCCCCCACACACACCCAAAAAGGAAATTTACTGGGATGTGGTATAAACTTTGAAAAGTAAAGTTTGTAAAAACAAGGACTTAAACAAACAGGAAAAACACCAACAGAAAAGCAGGGCAAGAAGCATATCACTCCACACACAAAAAAAGGAAAAGGAAAAAATAAATATTCTGGGATGTGGAATAAATTTTAACAGTAAAATTCATAAAAACAGAGACTTATACAATCAAGGAAAGTATCAACAGGAAATCAGGGCAGGGAATGTCAACATTACATCTCGAGTTTTGATCAGAAAATTGCCCCCACAAAATATTTTGGAATCTGCCCTATACCACAGGAGAAGGATCTCTTCTACACCCTCCATCCCTGAAGTACCTGGGACCTGCCAACAAGAGAAAACACTCCAAAATCAAATACAGACTAAAGGGGGAAAGGAAGAGGCCACAGCAATGGGCTCACCATCCCAAATTCATATGCAGACGAGGGGAGGAGGGGAAAGGCCATAGAGCCTGCTTCCTTTACTGAAAGCAGATTGCAGATGGACAAATGAGAAGACCAATTTCCTCTGGAAGTTAGTGTCAGGAATCTGCCTATCCGGCACAGAAAGAAAGCCATTTGACAAGAGAATAAGTCCACCTGCTAGAGCCAGAATGTTGTCCTGCAACGAATTTTCAATCCCACCTGGAGTCATAAGAACATAAGAGAAGCCCATGTTGGATCAGGCCAATGGTCCACCCACTCCAACATTCTGTGTCACACAGTGGCCAAAAAGTACCAGGTGCCATCAGGATGTCTCCCAGCAGGGCCAGAACTGCAGAAGCCCTCCCACTGTGGCCTCCCAAGCACCAAGAATACAGAGCATTACTGCATCAGACATAAGAGCATCAGAGAAGCCAATGTTGGATCAGGCCAATGGCCCATCCAGTCCAACACTCTGTGTCACACAGTGGCCAAAAACACCAGGTGTCATCAGGAGGTCCAGCAGCGGGGCCAGGACACCAGGACACTGCCCACTCCTTCCCAACAGCCCCTAAAACCATCCATCACCTTGAAATACAAAGCCCTTTAAAGCCTACACAGGACAGACTGTGCTCTTTCTACCAGTAGGAATTCTCTAAGCCTGCCGAAGCTGACATTTGAACACTGGAGAGATTGGTAGACTTCAAACACTTTGCAGCAGAGATGAAACTTCTGTTTTCTGACTGCACCGACTCATTATATATTAGATGCAATCATTCCAAAATGTGTGGGTTCTGAAATAACACTCAGTGGCTAACATTATAATAAGTATACTAAAATATAAGGAGATTTATGGATTTACTAAGAATTTGTTGCTGTCAAATTAAAAACAAAAAACAAAAGATCACCACTATGGCATCAAAGAGCAGCAGTCCATATAGGAAACCAGGTTTCCAAACGTGGGCTGCTTTCCCTTTAAGCCCAAGGGGCCTCGGCGGTGGGAAGGGGAGGAAATCATCTCTGTCTGGCAGTCCGGCTTCTGCAGTCAATTCTCTCCCTAAACATTCCGTGACAGCCACAACTGGTTGAGCGTTACTGGAGCCCTCTCAGCCCTTCACTCCCTATTGGGCAGGTAAGAATGCTCAGACTCCTCCTTTCCATGTTCAGCCAATCATCTGCTTTGCACAGGGTTAGGGTTAAGTGCCATTATGCTGGAAAAAATGACTAAGGTAGGTTTGTTGGCACTTTTTAAAATGAGCCTCTGTACCAAAGAAATTGTTCTAAATGCTCTAGCTCTGCTACAGATACCCAGAATCCCATTTATGTTGATATCTTCCATCTTTTAAGAGTACACGAGTGAATAATGGGATGCACATTAAAAAAAATTACGCAGGCCCTATTTGTGTTAACCTGCCATGAAATAAAATCTACGTGCTGCCCTCTTCCTTTTATCACTTCGGCATGCTGCTTTTCTATCAGCTTAATCAGTCCCGGAACTTTAAATGCACCTTTTTAAAGAGCCGAACGAAAGGAGACATCATTAGGAGCGTGCAGTCTAGAGACTCAAGGGCTGGAATGCGCTAGAGGGAAGCACGTACTTCTGACACGAGCACATTACTCATTAATGTAACAGCTTTCTCAGCCATCTGCCAGCACCGTGTCCAAGCACATGCTTGTCAGTTTAGCGGGGAAATTAATTTCAAGAGGAATTTTGCCATATTTCAAAAGGGAAAAGAGCTGGACTTTCCCCCAGGGTTTTCCTTTTCCTTCCAAATCCTGACCCTTATTCCAATAAAGCTCTTTACAGTAACGGTTCAGTGAGTTGAGTGTTTTTAAGATATCCAGTTGGTTTATAAGCCTCAGTTTCCTGGGCATGCACGGAACGCAAGCGTCCCACTGTTTCCCCGCACAGTCAGTCGTGCAGAGAGGGTGTTGCAGCTCCTGCAAAGACCAGGATGTAAACAAGCGGTTGCCTGTGGCAAGGAAGAATTGCCTCCAGACCAGATGGAAACATTTTGAAATGGGAAGAGATCCTTTGACAAATGTAGGCAGGCCAGTGGTATATTAGATTTATTGTATATGGCCATTGGCCATTACAATACAATATAATACAAGGTTACATTCAAAGAACACTCATAATTTAAAACATTGCATTCAGGATAAAACTCAACCATACAATTAAAATGTACAGCTAAAATGTCAGGATTGCAACAGTCTGGAATTTTAAAAGCGTGGTATCAATGCTTTATAACTTTATATACTTTACTAAGAGCTGCCTTGGATCTGACCTTCCTAGCTGCAAGTGCAAAAAGCGCTACCTTGTGTGAGACCAAGGGGTTCGTTTCCGACAAAGAAAGATCAACTTTTCACTGTCAGTTAACTTGTGCACTTGGCTTAAAATTCCAGATAGGAATTTAAGGCATCTAAGGTCCGAATATAAAGGATAAATCATTACATAGTGAAATAGAACTTCCACAGAGGTTCTGCATACACAAATGCATTGTTCCTGTGGTTTACTGGAATATCTTCCAGACAGCAATTCAGTGGGCATAGACTGAAAACGAAGTGCGGTAAATGCCGCTCTTAAACTGTGTACTGCAATATCTGTCAAATAGGATGTTCTTGAGTGATCTTTCTTTATCCTTTGGTATCATGGTGCAGATTTTGACTGAGTTATTAGCATGTTATCTAGTAGAGCATCCTCCTTGTATACCCATTGACACAGATCCCGAGTATTCAAGAGGGACCTAAGTAAGTCATCAGGCACAGTATATCGGGAAATAATGTTATGGGCAGGATAGTAAAAACTTTGTTTGCAAATCTGTTTTCCAGAGTGCAGCATGGCACCTAGTGCCCAGATCCACAGAGCCCTTGAACTGGCAACTTGCATTGTGATGCTGGCTTTTAGCATTCCATGGAACAGGGCACAATATAATGTCTGGACAACTTGTGACCCACTCAGCTAAAGACAGTCCATTAGCCACTAGACCAAGGGTGTCAAACCTACAGCCCATGGACCAGAACCAGCCCGCCCAGGCCTTTAATCCGGCCCGGGGGTGAGGCTCTCTTCTCTCCCCCCTCTCCTGCCCATCCTCACTGTTCTGAGCTTGAGCTGCCTTGGATATAGAGAGCTGAGGGTGGGGCTGCCTCTAGAGCAGGAAGCAGAGGGCAGGGCTGCCAAACTTCCCAGTCACTGCTCCTGGCCTCTGTAGTCCTCCTTACAGGTAAGAGCTGGGGGGAGAGACCCTTCTGCTGTGATCCTTGTGCTTTTAAAACTTGCTTTGGAAAATCCCGCTATTCCCCCACCTGTCCAGTTTAGGTAGGCATGTTTTAAGGGCATGGGAGGGGAAAGGTTTGGGATCAGCCAGGATTAAAATATAGAGTTCTATAAACTCAAGGGACTCCAGTTTTGCAGAGAAATATTAGTTTTAACACATACACTCTCCTAATGTGGAGCTCCAATGGAATAACAGCAGAACAAGTGTAACGATTGCACTCTCAGTAAAATTCATATACAACCATTTCCTTTGGAAAGCTTTTTTCCCCCTGATCATCAGCATTTTTAGGAACAAGCTAGATCTGTCTTCAGGATCTGCTAAATGTGGTTGCTGTCAACGAAGAAGCCCATTCTCTCAACACACTGCAAAACTCTCAGAAATGACAAGATGGCCACGTTCATGACATAACATGTGACTCACTAAAAGACCATGTGCTTTGCATGCAGAAGGTATCAGGTTTAATCCCCAGCAACTCCAGCAAGGGTGCGAGCGGTAAGTTAACATGGACACCAGTGCAAGACATCACATTATGTAGTCAAGGTAGAGCTGGATAGAACAACAGTCTGACTCCATACAAGACAGCTTCAAGTTCAGATATTTTGTTGATATGTACTGTATATTTTATTGTATGATTTTCCAGGGCTATTTTTGGGCAGGAACGCACAGGAACAGGGTTCCGGCTGGCTCCCAATTTGACCACACCCAGCAGGAACTCATTAGCATAATAGACCACACCCAATAGCAGAAACTCATTAGGATTGGCTGCATTAGGGGTGTGGCCTAACATGCAAAGGAGTTCCTGCTACAAAAAAAGGCCCTGGGTTTTGACAACAAACAAGGTAAACAGAATAAGAAGAAAAAGGTGGGTGTGGCTGGATGACCACACTTCTGGTAACATGGGGGTGCAGCCTATGCTCTCATGGGTGTGGCTGGATATCCTAATGAGTTTCTGTTGTTGGGTGTGGCCTATTATGCTAATGAGTTCCTGCTGGGCTTTTTCTACAAAAAAGAGCCCTGATTTTAACTTTTTAGTCACTTATTGTATGTTCTTTTTTGTTGCAAGCCACCCTGAGCCCTGCTTGCAGGGAAGGGTGGCCTAAAAATTTAATAAAATAAAAATAATAAATACCTGTCACAGATGTCGGAAGGGTGTTCGATTTTTTTAGTTGTTCTCGCCGTTCAAGCCTTGACATGGCAGTTTCGACTTTCTTCTCCTCTTCTTGGGGTGTGGATTTCGGCAACGAACTTATCCTGCTGATACTGCTGCTTTTATTATCCGGCTGATTGTTTATACTGGCCTAATATAAAATGCAAAAAGAAAAACTATTATGATACAAACTTTTCGTCTAACTTTTAGTGACTTTATGTTATTTACAGTCCACCTTTCCCACTGAGACTCAAGGTGGATTACACAGTGTTACGTCAATAGAAGCAACAGGATGGGACATCCAATAAACAATGCAAGAGGGATCGGACTGCAGAAATCTGAAACAAAGCATAAGCATTTAAACACGACATGTTAAATGATACAGCAATTACATAGTAGGAACATACTTACAGCAACAGACAGTACTTACTATAGTATAGTCCACACTCTCTTACCCTTTATCAAAGCATCTTTCTGAAACATTTCATTAAGTACAGATCTATTATCTGTAAAATAAAGCCCTCCTAAGTAATTCAGTTTTGTATAGTTTGAGAAATGCCAGAAGAGTGGGACCCTTCCTAATCTCATCAGGAGAGCCATTCCATAATGGGGAGGGGGCACAACAGAGAATGCATGTATACAGGTGGTTGTTGATCAACGCTCCCTCTAAGCTGTGGAGTCTTGTGAGCAAAAATTCTACTTTGTGAGCTGCTGGCATTAAAGTTGTGAGCAAGCCATTTGGCTAGTGCATTAATTAGTTGGCTCTGGAGCCCTCCTTCTTGAGCGAAGGCAAAAACATGTAAGCCGGAGGCTAAAAAACTGTGAGCTAGCTCACACTAACTCAGCTTAGAGGGAACACTGTTGATCTTGCCAATTTGCAGAGTCACACCTGAAGAAGACCCTCCTTAGAGGAGTAAAGCTGTTGTGGCAGAGCATGGGGAGAGAGGCAGTCCTGCAGATTTGAGGGACCACGGCCACAAAGCGCTTTGTATATAATAGCTGATTCCTTGAACTGAGTCCGGTAACTGATGGGCAATCAATAAGGTGACTGTAGAATGGGAGTAATACACATGCTCCACCTCTGATAATAACTGAGCTGCAGTATTCTCCACCAACTGGAGTCTTCAAGTGGACTTTGAGGGTAGGCCTATGTAGCATGCATTACAGTAGTCTAGTGTTACCAAGGTGGCCAGATTGGACATGTCATGATAGAGGGCCATTTTGCAGGCTAGACTGAGTTGAAAGAAAGCTTTTTTTTTTTTGCAGCTGCATTAATATGCTTCTCCAGCAGCAGTGATGGATCCCACATCACCCCTAGGCTCTTAACTGAGTCAGGAGGGTCAGCTGAACCCCATCATAAGTGGAAAGCTCAATATCCTTCAAGACCTCTGCCTTTCCAACCAGCATAACTTCTGTCTTGTCTGGGTTCAGTTTAAATTTGTTCATTTTCAGCTATTTGTCCACAGCAGTCAGGCTGCTTAGGTCCTCTACTGAGTCACCAGGGGGGGTTGGATAGAAAGAGACAGAGCTGGGTATCATCAGGATATTGACAGCATCCAATTCCAAAGCTTTGTATGATTTCTCCTAAGGGCTTTAGATAGAAGTTGAATAACATCCAATGGCAACCCTTTGAGTCTAATCCACGAGGAACCATTTAAACCAGTCCAAGGCACATCTTTTGATATCTACTACCTCCAAATGCCTCAACAGGATGGCATGATCTACGGCATCAAAAACTGAAGACAGATCCAGGAGGAGAAACAAAGAAGAAGGAGAAACAAACACCTTTGTCTACACTGAGGCAGAGATCATCAACTAAAGCCATCAGAGCCATCTCTGTCCAATAGTCTGGCCCGAAACCAAACTGAAAAGAGTCCCAAGTGCATTAGTTATCCAAGAAGACCTGGAGTTGGTCTGCTACTGCTCCTTTACTCAATTTGCCTAGAAAGGGCAGATCAGATACTAAGCAATAATCAGACACATCATTTTTCTGTGGGAATGGTTACTGAACCATCTCTTTGAGTGGCTAAGGAAAGGAGCTAGTTAGTAACTGTTTTATGATAAACATTAAGGACACCAAACTGTTATTGTAATTTTTAATTTACAGCCCTCCTATTGATTCAAGGGTCCCGTTGACAGCAGACCATATAAAATAGTTTAACAACTGTAAAACACAACAGTAAAATATAGTTCCACAAAACCCTAAAAATAGCAAGAAAAAACAAACAAACCTTCCTTAGTTGCCAAGAGCTCAGCTGAAGGACAAGGCCTTAGTCTGTTTTATAAAAGTTTTGATAATCTGTTCCAGGTTCTCTCCATTTCTACCTGGCCTTCCCAACTGTCTGGCGCTGCTTTCATTTTGGCTACTGTGCATTTCGACTGGCCCAGCCCCTCATCCTAGTTATTTCATTTATTTATTTACTTACATTATTGATAGTCTGCCTGAAACAAGGCAAAAAGTATTGGGCATGATATGTCAAATATGGAATCACACAATATAACAAGAGCAGAATACACACAACAAATAATACATACCACATGCAATACTGTTCCCTTTGTAAAGTGCCTTCCTGAGCTATTCTCTTCTAGTACAGCCCTATTACCTTTATTAAAATGCCCTGCTGAACCATCCTGTTTACTGTAGTTTGCGGAATGACAGAAGTGTGGGCAGGCCATCCCACCAGGCAGGTCATTCCACAAGGTGGGGGCCACAGCAGAGAATGCACATGTATGGGCACTTGTTGATCTTACCAATTTGCAGGGTGGCTAGGGTTGCCAAGTCACCTTCTTTTTGCGGCAAGGGAGGCTTCGTCCTGTTCTGAAATATTCTCGCGTGTGCATAGCACGCGCGTGCCGTGATGACACCGCCCGGAAGTGACGTAATCACACTGGGCACGTCGCAGGGCGCTGCTCTAGCAATCACCCTAAAAACTCTATGGTACCATAGAGCTTTCAGGGCGATTGCTAGAGCATCGCCTGGCGACATGCCCAGCATGATTACGTGACTTCTAGGCGACATCATCGTGCCGGGCATGTCAGCCTGATTTGGCCACTTCGGGGGTGGGGTTCCCCCTGCCGGCCGGATCCGGACCGGCAGATTGGGGGCTCTTTCAGCGGGGGGAATCCCCGTCCCCCGGGGGGACTTGGCAGCCCTAAGGGTGGCACCTTCTGAAGGTTTTGTTCAGATGAGTGAAGTTATGTCATATTGGGCACCACCTTAAAAGTACAGGCAAAAGCAGTTTCTGAAGTTAGAAAAATCCCTCTTCCCAATGATTACCCTAGTGAAGACTGCAGTCCGGCAGAGGGTTAGGCTAACTCAAGTTCATTCACTGATGGCAGTTGAATTCAGCCCCTGAATTCAACAAAAACCATCTGTGATGGGTCGGTGCCAGGCCCAGGCCAGTGAACATTCTAGTGCCACAGAAGATTGGTGGTCATTGGGGAAAAGCGGTTGCTTTAGTTACCTAGCTGGAGGCTTTCTTATTGCAGCCAGAATTGAATGTGGTTCTTGTCCTCTTCAAGGACAGGAAGGAAGGTGACAGAAAATATAACAGATATAGTTAGATGCATTAGTGGTTATATTTTATTGTGTCTTATCCACTTTGCAGTAGTGGGAGATTAGAAATCAAGGAGTGGAAGAAGCAGGGAGATGAGGAGAGGAAGAGGAGGGGTGGGATTGTATGAGAGGATATTGAGGGTTGGGCCTCCTCAGCTGCCTTGATATGGTGACAAAGTTCACACAGAGCCAGAAGGGGCCAGATGCTGTTGGTGGGACGGATTACAGTGAGTTGTGATCACCTCAGGGGACTGCCTACCATGGCTGCTGGGTGCCATAATTAGGGAGGAACATATCCATGAGCCCAAGACATGAATTTGTGTGCTTTTGGTTGGGATGGGGAGCAGATAATCGAAGACAGACACATTTAAAATATAACAACTGAAAGGAAACCACTCCTCAAATTTTTACTGGTTTCTATTTATTATAACCCTTGTATCATTTGCATAAACATGGGGTATGATGCTCTGTCGTATGTCGACACAATTGCTTTTATTTTGTGACATCTTTTTCAATACTTTGGGGGATTTTTAATCAGGCATTGTGGAAAAGACCAACTCGCTGCTCACACTCACAAAGGAAGAAGAAGAAGAGATTGGATTTATACCCTGCCCTAATCACTACCCGAAGGAGTCTCAGAGCGACTTACAAACTCCTTTCCCTTCCCCTCCCCACAACAGACACCCTGTGAGGTAGGTGGGGCTGAGAGAGCTCTTGACAGAAGCTGCTCTTTTTCAAAAACAGCTCTTATCAGAACTATGGCTTGCCCAAACCAGGTGCAAGTGGAGGAGTGGGGAATCAAACCCGGTTCTCCCAGATTAGAGTCCGCGCACTTAACCACTACACCAAATTTAGACTCTACCTGACTTGCTTTCCAGTCTCTGAGCACTCCATTTTGATTGTATACTACGAAAAAGTGCCTACTGCCAACTACATGAAGTATTTCCATATCATCCACATTGAGTTTGTGTGTTAAAAATGTCAGGAACCCTGAAGTCTGAGGTACTCACATTTTCTTTAGCCAGTTTCTCGGCTTGCTTGGCTTCCCTGGCTTGCCTCCTCTCCTCCCTCGTTGCTTGCTGCTCTCGGAAACCCTTCTGCTTTTGCAGGGCCAGCGTAATCCAAAGCGGCTGTGCAGATTCCACTTTTTCCATCAGCTTGGAGCCATCTATGGAGTGCCTGCTCTGTAGAACAGGCCGTTCTAGAAGACAAAACAAAACACTAAAACTTTGGTGGTGGCGAATGGAAAGAAAAAGTTCGCCCTGAATTCTACCAAGGGTGCGTGGCTTAGCTTGTGGTCTCCTAGCAGGGGCAGACTGGGACAAGTGGCCCTTGAGGTGCCGTGTCCTACATCCATTGTCTTTGTCACCATATCAAGGCATAGTCTGATCTGAGAGGACCCTGTGGCACTGCCAGCACCTCAAAGGCAGCTTGGCTCAACTTTCTCCTGGGGCCAGCAGCCCTCCAGGAACACTCCCGATAAAAGAAAGGGCCTGTCTTCACCTGTCTCCTAGCGTGCCATTATGATGTTGCACACTTCTGGTGAATGGTCTACAATGCACTATTTTCATCCATGTCTAGTGTTTATGGTGTCCTGAAATACAGGTGTACCTAAATTTCATCTTACTTTCTGTTGTTTTAAATGTTTCCCCCCCTTCTTTTTAAATGTTTATTTTTATTTCTTTAGGAAGTGCTCATGTAACTTTTTAAAATGAATAGGAACAACAATTCTGGCCATCACTAACATGTCTACTTCTACTGCCATATTGAAACTCTGACATTTTGTGAAACATTTTACTTCCTTCAAAACACTCTGTGGGATGGAAGGAAGCGCTGTATAGCCCGACCTCATCTGATCTCAAAAGCTAAGCAAGGTCAGTACTTGGATGGGAGACCACCAAGGAAGACTCTGCAGGGAAAGGCAATGGCACCCACCTCTGCTTCTCCCTTGCCTTGAAAGCCCCCTGCTGGAGTTGCCATAAATTGACTGTGATTTGATGGCACTTTACACACACACACACACACACACACACACACACACAACTGTGTACTCCCCTTTCTGAGTCCTGATTTCTTTCCTCCCAAACTTCAAGGTGGGGCCTGAGATTATCCCAGAATTACAACTGATCTCCAGATTACCAAAATCAGTTCCCCTGGATAAAATGGTGATTTCAGAGGGTGGACTCAAATGGCATCGCACACCCACTGGGTTCCCTGCCCTCCCCAAACTCCATCCTCACTAGGCACCATTCCCAAATCTGTGGGGATTTCCTAAAATGGAGTTGGGTCACCATAATCTCTCCTGAAGCAAACTGACTGGCTGCACTGCACAGCTCTTCCCCACTACCGCCACGTATGCGAGGATGGGATATCTGCTAGTGGTTGAAGCAGGTTTACCACAAAATAGCACTTGTAAAGTTCAATCCCCCCCCTTTTCCCCTTGATTCTCAGCTTGACCGTACATGTCCCGCATAATACTTGGATGATACTTCAGTACTGCTGACTTTTTCAAAAGTTTGTTAACCATTCTTTGCATCCTTAGATCTCAATGCAAGGTGGCCTAGAAATGTCAAAACTTGTTTTATCTGTGAGTGCTCAACACTTCCGTCTATTTCTGGAAAGCGTGGGGGGTTAATTTTGGAGTTATTTGATGCACTATTTTGGGAAACTTGGGTGAACTTTCAGGTTTGTCAGTGTTCCATGCTATCGAGAACAAAGTCAAGAAGTCCAAAACGGAGTGGTCCAAAGAAAGGACTCCTCCTCAACCGCGCAATACGTTTTGGAAGTCACAGGGGCTCTAGTTCCACATGGAACTGCTCTGCAAGCATGGGCTTCCCTGTGAAATTTAAATGGATCAAGTAACTCTACTGCACATAAGCAAAGGGAAAATGTCACTAAGAGGAGGGCAGGGAGCTGTTCCTGTTGACAGCAGAGGATACATGGGGTTAAATTATAGGTGGAAAGGTATCAGCTGGATAATGGGGGGAGGGATTACAATAAGAGTAGTTCCGCAGTGAAATTGGCTGCCTAGGGAGGTGGTGAGCTCCCCCTCACTGGCAGTCTTCAAGCAGTGGCTGGACAGACACTTGTGTTTGGTGTAATGGTTTGGTGTAGTGGTTAAGTGCGTGGACTCTAATCCGGGAGAACCGGGTTTGATTCCCCACTCCTCCACTTGCACCTGGCTGGATGACCTTGGGCAAGCCATAATTCTGGCACAGCTGTTTTTGAAAAACAGCAGTCTCTGTCAGAGTTCTCTCAGCCTCACCTACCTCACAGGGTGTCTGTTGTGGGGAGGGGAAGGGAAAGGAGTTTGTAAGCTGCTCTGAGACTCTTTTGGGTAGTGAAGGGCGGGGTATAAATCCAATCTTTTCTCTCTTCTCTCTTGTTAGGGGTGCTTTGGGCTGATCCTGCATTGAATAAGGGGTTAGACTAGATGGCTTGTATGGCCTTTTCCAGTTCTATGAATGAACACAGCTCACCCCTCTACTGAAATAAGCAGAGAAGACCTGCGTGCTCTGAGTCTACATCCCAGCATGGGGCCCAGTATTTGGGTAATGAGGTTTGTGGGAATGGGTGTACCCTGACAAAAAATGTTTTTGACATTAAGAGTTGTATAGCTCAGCCTCCTCGATATTTGTGTATCTTTAATGAACTACCCAACACGAATGAAGAAAGCTTTGCTTCTTTCTTAAAAGCTTCGCTACTTAACAATTATAGAGTCCTACTTACATGTTTTACACAAATCTGACTTTACATAAATTTGAATTTTCATTGGCACCTGCCAAATATGGTTCCAACAGCATTTCCTCTTTGTGAATTACTCTGTGCACAAAGGGCTGACTTATGCAGTGGTTCCACATTTCCTCCATGTGGGCATGCTCATATTTGTCCATAACCATGTGAACATGGGCTGGAACCACATGTGTATCTGGTCACATGCATTTGCTACAAATCTTACTATTGCCGAAGCCTCAAAAGGGGCTATCAGGATCCCAGAGATGGTGTTCATGTTTGTAGACATATCAATACATAGAACGTATGTCTCTGGTTCATCTGCTGGCTCCCCCACGCACACATGGACAAGCACAAGCCTGAAGACATTTTCACATAGGAAAATGTGAAGTGGCCCTTATTGGAACAGGGTTCTCTCTAGAGCAGATTCCCATATGCATGCACACTGGATAAATCAAGACCGAATGTGCAAATTGCCTCCACTGGAAACCATTTTGTTTGCAGTGATGCAAGATGAGTCTTGTAAAGTCTGACTTGCTTTTTTCTTGAAAATCATCACTTGATGTGACAGTAACTAAAGATAAGCTGATGTTTGTGAACTCACATTTAAGAGTAAGCATAAAGAAAACAGGCCCGGAACAGTAAAGGGCAAATAAAATAAAAATAATAATATATTGGTGCTTAAGACTCTCTGGCTCATGTAAGACTTGAACTTCCACCTACCTCTTTTCAGTGGCTCTGGCTTCTTCTCGGTTTTTTCTCTCCAGGGCATGGTAATGGATGGGAAAAACGACTTCTTCTCCCTAGACTCCTCCTCCTCGTTCTTGCCTTCATCATGAGTTTGGGAAAGCAGAGAGCTGCCTTTCACCTCTGCTCTTCTCCAACAGGCGTCAGGTTCAGTTTTAGCCACCCTCGGGCCAACCGGTTCAGTTAAGTGAGATCGGCGCATTTTTGAGAGAGGGGATGAAGGTGGGGTTTGGCTGGTGGGCTTTGGAGCTAAGGCCGGCTTTTGTTGGAGTGGGGATTTACAGACGGGTTTCTCTTGACTAGGTGCCGACCCCTGAACACTAGCTGTTGGACACACTGGGGCAGCCGTGGTATAGTTTTGATTCACATTAGTTGGAGTGTCCTTTGCAGAATGAACAACAGTCTCCTTTCTCTCTTGGCCAGGGGATTTGCTTTCTTTCAAAAATATATTATTTGCATCTTTTTCGTTTTCCGGGGTCACAAGCGGGGAAGGCACACCATCGAAACTATCTCCTGCACTGTATCTTTTCTTCTTCTTCTGCTCTGCCTGCTGATCATAGTTAAAGCGCACTGAATAGTTTGTCCTCCGTAGTTTGACTCCAAACGGAGAAACGTTCTCTTCTCCGTTTGGTGACCCTCTGTCCACTTTCCTCACACCAACACTTTGCAGAGATTGAACAGTTTCTGTCTGGGGCGATTCTTT